CACACACACACACACACACACACACACACACACACACACACACACACACACACACACACACTTAAGAGAAGTTGTTATATTATTTCCAAGTCTTACTCTCCATCATCGACTAACATCTCCTGTTTCCCTGCTGAAGCACACTTTAGAGCACAATGGCCATTTAATTCCAGGTCAATCCCTCTGGCAGAGAGTTGGTAACAACTCAAAAACCTCACAGGTCCGTTCTGAATGTTTAACATCTTTGCTATTGAACTCTGTGCTCCGAGGATCTGCCCGCCAAGACTCTTGATGGCAGCATTTTAAAAACATTCACATGTCACAAATGAGTAAAGTAAAAACGATGACCAGGACCTTACAATCACAACGATGGATGCAGACGAACACCGATGCTCTTTGAATTGAAGATGGACTTCGGGGATGTTTTGTTTTTTTATTTTCTCTCTTTTTCTTTTCTTTTCTTTTTTTTTAATATTCTGCAAAATTTTAAAGATTTAAACACTCAGAATACATTAGTTATATACTACTCTTTGAGCAGCAAATAAGTTATGAGTGATCATTATGTTGGTCAAAACAAATCAAATGCTGTTAAGACTTCATTACTGTCCATGTCTTATCCTGAAAATGATTAGTATCTGCTGATAGTCTCCAATAATTTAGTAAAGTTTGATTAAAAATATTAAAATGAGTAAAGATAAATACTATAAAGCATACATTTCCCTGACAACAAAAACAGAATTGGAATCAGGAAAACAAAAGCAACAAATAGTTTAGATATTCATGGAAATAGCTGAATACCCGGCTGATGCGTGATTTGGTTTCACACAGGTGCAAGTATTCCATCGTCTGATTTCTGCATCTTGCTTTTAAGTTTTTAAGATGTTGACATTTGAAGTTTGCATTTACCCCTGGCAGGTTACAAGACAGGGCTTAGCAGTACATATTGGTTGCATTTTCCCAGTTTAACATGTGACTTTAGAGGATAAGGGTGTTGATCTGCAGCTGCTTGTGAATGAAACTGTTGTTCAGTCGTTTTTTTTTTGTTTTTTTTTCATTCTTTTAACTAGTGAACTTAAGAGGAGTCCAAAAAGACTAGAAGTAAATATTACAGTGATGGTATATGCTCATCTATTGTGTGAACCCGTGTATAAATGCGTACAAGCACCTAAAAGCCATATTAACAGGAGAGGGTGTTTTTTCTGTGCGGATATGAATTAGAAAATATGAGCCTAAAGGAACTGGATTGTTATAAATCTCACTATCGTCATAGAAGAAACTTGTCGGTGTAATCCGAGTATCAAATGCAGCTCTAGATAACTGTGTTTTCTGTGGCAGGATTGGGTGGATGGATTCATGGACAAAGTGACATAAGCAGACATGAACGGGAAAAACTGGAGAAAAATGGCGACTACAGAAAAGTTAACGGACCGCAGATTAACTTGGCGTCGACTCGTATAATAGGACAACAAAACAAGCAGAAACGATACAGTGATGATTGTAGTCTTTTGTGTCTGTGCAGGCTGCTTCTTACACTTATGTGCCAAGCAGAAACACTATTTCTTAAAGTGAAGAAGGAGAGGAGGGGGGGAAAAAAAAAAAGCCGGAACTTCTCTAATGAATGTTGGCACACACAAAAAAAGACTGTAGACGTTTTGGATTGTTGGTAGTGTCCCAACAGGGTCCCAGAAATTGGTAACTCGAGATGAGGTCCACTGTTGTGCAGTTTCCCTTTGATTTGTGTTGAGCTCAACAACAGTGTGACTCTACATTTAACCCATTCATTATTATTTTAATGCATCGTCACTGAGCAGGACTCACATTTCCCTTCAGATTCTAGGATACAGACATGTTGGTAAATGAATACTGGGATGAAATCCATCTTTTTTTTTTTTTTTTTTTTTTTTTTTTTTTTTTTTTTTTTTAAAATTTAAATTTTTGTTGCTATGCTGAGGTTTTATTAAAAGGTTAAAGTTTTTAAACATTGTAATGCTTTCGATTAAAGCACTTAGGCAGAGCTCGAGTCACCCTGCGGTTTTGATCGAGTGAGAAATGTAGAACAAACAGGTTACAGCTCTCACATGTGCGTACTAACTTAACATCGTAACACACGCGCCTAATTTTGTTTGACAGATGTGTTCTGCTGAAGTCTATCCCTGCTCAGTACGTTATGGCACGCATCTAATTTTTAATCACATTTCGTTTTGTTTCTGTATTAAAAATCACATTTTCACATGAATATTTAGCTTGCAGCACCGACCCTATGCAACTTTTGCACGTGTCTGTTATTGTACCACAGCTTAACATTTCCCCCCCCTCCACCCGCAGCGACACATTGAACGCACGCACACACACACCTTCACTTTTGAGTAGTGAGATGTACCTTTTTATATATTGACTTTGCAGCCTTAGTTTAATACATTCCAGATAATTTGAAACCTATTTGTACTACTTGTCACTACAGGTAGCCGTGTTGTCACATCTTCAATTTGACTTTTATTTGTATTATTTTTTTTTTTTTTTTTTTTTTTTTCAAAAATGGATTACCGTGTCATGCTTAGTGCCCGAGCTTGTCTGTTTTCCATTTTTAACTTGTGTGTTATTTATGGTGTTTTATGAATGAGTTGGTTTTTTTTCTCTTTTGTAGCAAAATCGTTTCTTAATGTTTTGCTTAGGAAAGAGCAGAGCGCCTAATCGGGGCTTGAAGCAAACATTCACCAGCTGAACACTGAACCTTTGACTGTGGCTGTTACATCTGTCTGATTTACTTGCCAGTACAGTATCTGTAACATATTCAGGACATGTTGGGTTAAATTCACCAGTACAATCCAGAACTTTACATTCATTTAAAAACAACCTTTTTTGTTTTGTGTTATTAAAAAGCTTATTGCACAAACACTACTCCCAGTGCGCCATCACAGAAGGCTAAAGTCAAGCACTCACCAAATTCTGCAGCTGTACATGAATCCAAACAGACACAATGATCTTGGTAATTTTTTACGGTAAACTACTAACTGGCGAAAACTAAACACATGTAACCGTCACGTTCATCAGTGCTCATCAAGCTCTACCAGTTATACAACTAATAAACGTTATTTAACTAATTCTAGGATTTTATGTTGCTTTGATTGTTGGTTCTTTCTATTAAGGAAAATGTTTTCTGTTGAATTTTGTTTCTCTTCGATTGTGTCATGTGGTTGTCGATGTAATATATGTGTAAAAGTGTTGCACAGAAGTAATCGCAAGCAAAATGGCATATTTGTGCAATTGATTTTATTTTTATAGTATTTAAACAGTTTTTGGTGACAACCAGAAGTTTTATTTTGAAGTTGGGAGGGGTCTGTAAGGGGTTGTATCCATACTGTGGACAGCTTGTTAGATTCTATGAATGGGGAAAATGTCTACTAATAAAATCCTAATGTCAGCTTTGGGACCCTTCCCTTCTTCTTCTTTTTCTTTTTCTTTTTTTTTTTTTTTGAAACATGCATGAGTAAGGACTGACTTTGCACTCCTGTAGCATCCCCGGACACATGATGCTTACTAGTGGGTGCATATTTAACTGCAGTGGGCTTCTAACTCAGTTGTGACAACCTACTCATGTAAGACTGTGTGATCCAGCTGTATTACCGTACTATCAATGATGGATATAGCATCGTTCTCAAAAGTAAAGATGATATTGTGCGAAGAGAACCTGCGTGGTTGCAAACAAGTACATTTGTTTAAAAGTCAGACGGTTACAAAAAAAGAAGTTAGTTTATAAATGACATTTTTGCGCAGGCATGTTTCCTTGCTCCCTGCAGCACAATACAAGATGACTCTTCCTAGTGGGCGTGTTTAACTGGGGATTATTTTCACTACTTTCTGAGCGCTGACAAGTACAGCGTTAACTCCAGTGGGCTTCTAACAGCAGTCATGACATCCTACACATGTAAGACTGTGATTCAGCTGTGCGTGGAGCCAATCACAGGAGATGTTGAGAGGCTACAATGGGGAAAGACGGCATACACGATTTAAACAAATCATGAAAAAGAAGTGCACGTACTGTAAAGAAAACAAAACAAAATGAAAAGGCTACTTGGAATAAAAAATTATTCCAAGTAACCGTTATTACTGGATGTCCACACAAGTAAATTTTAAAATGAATTTGAGTCGCAGTGAGCATCTCAGAGGAAATGAAAATGATTTGATGGTGGTTGAGCACTAAACAGGCTACTGTGCAGATTTTATGAATCCAGTGGGAATTTTGCATATGTGTTTTGTGCGCAGAGTGAGAACATTTATATGCAAATATAAGTGAATAAGGCCCATTTTCTCTCATGTGCAAACATGACAATTGAAGCATTCCATTTTTCTTTTTAATGACTTGCATTTAAATTTTTCCGAGCACGGCCTCCATTTAATTGTGCACATAGTGAGAAATACCTCTAAACTTTATTTAATACAAACAAATTGAGGTATAAGAATATGCATAAATCAATTATGTGTGTACACACTGTTAGTAAATGATAAAAAAAACTAAACAAAACTGGGTTTAAAGGGTTTTTGTGTGTGCGGCGTGTTTAGGGAGGCTGACGATGCCACAGAGGGAGACAGAGTCAGCGCTTCTTATGAAGCTATTAGAAAACAATGGCCTGGGGACTGGCTTCACTTGTCTCCTGTTTAAGCTGAAAATCAACAGGCCTGCAGAAGTGAATTGCATCATTTTGCATCTTGAGAACATCAGCGGCATTTTTAAGGTCCAAGCTGCATGCCACAGCTGCCGTTAGAAGCCTGCTTCAATGATGTAGCTGTCAGCGCTTAAGAAAAATCTCTGCAGGTGCCCACATGGTTGCATGGATGCACATGTTCATATTCCAAAAACAAATGGTAATACTCCAAATATTCCAAATATTGAAGATGATGCTTCAAAGCAGGGATCAACTGCCGTGCCAAGTTATGAACGATGGATCAGCTCAGTAAAGACACAGAAAAGCAACAGCTTTAAAAAACACAAAGCGTAAACACATTTTTAATGTATTTGTTTTTGTTTTTTTTTATTTATATTTCCTGATTGAAATGTATTGTAAGGTCATAATTTGTCATTCATCACATTACATGGCATGATGCACCAGGTCTACTACACCCATTTACAGGAGGAATACACGGAAACATACACAAGGTTTTACAATGGGGAAACAGGAAGTTTAGCTCATTGCACTTACAACAGTGAATGGAACACTTTGTACTCATTTTTAGGCTCTCCACCTTTTTCTGTATTTTATTTTCAACCTTTTACTTCATTCAATTGCATTATTTTATAATTATTTTAGTTTTTTTTACACACACATTTCCAATGTCCGCTTCACCCTCTCCCCATCTCCATAAAATCCCCCCCACCCACCCCAAAAGTCACATGGAAGCCAGGATATTTTTCCCTTTTTTGATTTGGATGTTCTCATTTTACAAACACGACATGTATAGAAACTCTACACAGACCAATATGTTTATTTTTTCTCATATCCGAATACAACTTTTTTTTTTTTTAAATGAGTTTTAAACAGTCCGCACGAGCCAGCCACATACGCACAACGATGCATTTTGTCGTTTTATTGATCAAATCAACATCTGATCTTGTTCGTTATGTTCTCTCGTTGTTTTTATACACGAGTAGCACGAGTCTGGGCAGGGAGTTTCCGGCTTGCATACGCTCCAGCTTGTGTTGCCGTTTTTGGTGTGCAAACGCCTCTCTCGTGCCTCTCGTGCGCGCGTGTGTGTGTATGTTTGAGATTTACATGGCATTTACATGTTGTTGGTGTCTGTTTCGAAGCGGACTCTAGCCGGCTCTCGTGTGATATTTACACTGGAAAAAAAACACGACATGGCAACCCGTGAAGTGGGAGGTCAAAGGTCGAAGGGGTTTGTGTGGTCAAAAGGGGGTGGGGGGGGAGTAGTAGGGTTGGGTTAGGGCGGGTGTCCAGGTCATGCACTTGTCCTTTTTTTTTAAACTTTAATGATTCATACAGGTAAAAGGTGACAATAAATGATCCCTGATGGTTTTACAGTGAAAGATGGACTCTCTCGTGGTTTCATTTGTTTCGGCATTTAGCTTCTTTTACAGCCTCTCACCCATGAGACATTTACACACACTATACATTTTATATATATATTTGTGTTTTAAAATCGATCTAGGGTCCTACTATACGCTCACTGTCTTCATGACCAACAGCAAGACCAGTGGTGACTGTTACTACACTATGCTCTGTACAAGCACTGCATGCTACCTTTTTTTGGTTGAGAGCACACACCCGCGGGAACGCACGCACGCACACGCACACACAGTCTGGATTTCCCAAAAGCATTTTAAGCTGCATTTAAAGACAGCTCAAACAGAGACACTGTGTTTATAACTCTATGTGGCACTCTGTGGCACGTTCACGCCCAATTCAGATACAGATCAATGTCACAAAGGGTTAAAGGTCCAGATTGTCTGACTGTGCATAAATGCAGCTTTATTGCTGAGACGTTTCAGATTCAAAGACACGTCGCAGATGTGGTGGAAGAAACCTCTCGTTTAGCTTCACGTCTGTAAATCTGCCAGAGTTCTCTATCCAACTACTAGAGTTTTGTTCCAAACGGTCATTTGAAATAACATTCCTGCTCCTGGCATTGAGGGAAAACTCCAGATTTTTCTGTTTGGAGGAAGTCCCTACAGCAGATTTCATTCACGATTTGGAACACAACCCCTCAGAGTTCTATGTATCTCTAATATTGTTTACATTTGTGCTTCAAACGCCATTGAAAAACCCAGCTGTGGCTTGGTTATTTTTGCCCACTGGTGATTGCTGTGGTCTGAACAGAAGTCCATTGCATTCCTGGTTATAGACGCACACCACGCAGAGTATAGACAGAGACCACGACTGGCTAGAGGGCAGTAACAGGATGGCTTTCTTCAATGACCAGTATATTAGTATAAAAGCCCTTGCTGCTATGCATATTTAAGTCACCTTCAGCGGTTGGAGCAAAAAAAGAAAAGAAAAAGAAAAAAAGAAACCGCCACGAACACGTTTTCACAGTTCCTGGGATTTATGTGCTCCAAATATTACAGACTCTCTCTGACTGGCAGCAGCCACGATTTCACCGGTGTCGTAAGCGATCTGCTTTCACTGCGCCTGCACAAACACACCCATTATTATCTGTTGTCTTCTGAACATCTCCGTTGCGATGCTGCCTTTAATGTGTGCTTTCCTGAGGCAAAAGTGATTGAGGATTGTTTTATTCAACATTTTATTGGATTTTTTTCTTTCTTTTCTTTTTTTTTTTTTTAAACAAACTTCCAAAAACATACGACATACTGTACAATAGTGGAAGTTGGTATTAACTTGGGTAACGTTAAACTCTCTCTCATATTGTTTGTTGAAGCCTTGTCTTTTGTTGGTGAAGTCACCAATCCGACGGCAGCGTATCCGTGATCTCTTCTGTTTGGGTTACACACACTTAATGTGCAACTTAGAATGAGGCTGAAGAACTGTGGTGAAAAAACATATAGGCGACTTATGTACAAACACAGTTTCTCATCGATATATCTATAAATTTTAAACCTAAATCTCTCTTTTTCCTAATGCCAGCTCGCTTTCTATACCCGCTCCGTATGATAAAATAAACTCTTACATAGACGAATCATCTATAAATGATAAATGTTTCAGAAAATAAAAACAATATATACATATACTAGCTTCTTGTCAGGCCCTGCTCAAATAAGACTTCAAAGGTATTTATAGTTAAGGGATACTTTGATACTGCATAAACCAACTCTTTAAATCTGGATTTCAATAAATAGATTCTTTTATAACTTGCTCTAATAAGCTGCTACCAGTGCAAACCAAACATACACACACACACGCACACACACACGCACCCACACGTACGCAAACTCCCCTGTTTCACTGCTTAAATTCTGCTTTGAATAGTGTTTAACTTCATAGCCTACAGCAGTTTCTTTTGTTAAATATAATCTATAGGTTTTGTAATAATTATACATCTGAACTTGCTATGTCTATATCCTTTAATTTTTGGTGCTTCATTATCTGAAAAAAACAAAACTACAATTGCACATTAGGTAGCTAGCTAATAAGAATTCTGGGTCTGGTTATTAAATTAAAAAAGGGAGACCTTTTCTTCTTTACCCCTGAGCAGACACTTACCATTTTAGGGAATATATTGAAGTATATCATAATTTGTCTCTTATAATCTGTTAATTCTCTATTTTTCCTTTATGAAACTGGATTGCTTGGATGCGTTCATGACAACCGGGATTTTTGAGTCCCTGCTAAATAGTTTTCAAATATCTGCACCTGCTGCTCTCTCCTTCCATTTCAGCTATTTTTTTTTGGTTTGTGTTCATTGGTAAGCAGGTTTTGACTCTTCTCTATGTGAGCTACTGATTGGCTGGAAAAAAGAAGAGTCACTTTGTATAAAAATATGAAATTGCACACTTCATCAGCTTTGCCTAACATTTGATAGAGAACAGCCTGATGCATCTAACTCATCAAGCAGCATATTTTGTTCAAATCATAGGTGTAATTTCCCAGCTGCCATGAATACATCTTTGGTTGCAGAAAGGTACCCCAAACATTTAGGTTAACATGAAAAAAAAGAAAGATCCATCTTCAGATTTCCTTTACAATTAACCAGTTTCATACACAAATTCACAGAATCCTCTTATATTAATCTACCACAGATATCAAAACAAATGTGATATGCAAAAAAACACGTGTGACTTTCCCCCCCAATCTGTGTGTTTCACTTGCCTTTTCCTCTTCGTGATTTTCCAAATATGATTCATTGCATAGAACGACTGGAGATGAGAGGTCGCCTCTTCTGCCCAACATATTTGTCATGATTAAACTCATGGTTGTCTTGTTTTTTTCCAGGGGTTTTTTTTGTGTTCCTTTCCCCTCCACATTAGATGATGGTTGTTAAATACACGCATACAGAACCCGCACACACGTACAAACATTAGGAACAGAACGATATAGAGGTGACTGAGGTTTTCTGCGCCGGGACGCATGCGAAGGTTCCCAGCGAGCGTTCACACAGACAATATACAGCAGAAGTTGGTTGGTTCCATTTAGTTTTGCTGAGGGCCTCGCGATGATTGGCCTGACAGAGTACATTTTGAGTACCTTACCACAGACCCCACAATACACTGCAGGAGCAACAACAGGGAGAACACTGACCTGAGAAGATTCCTTGACAGCTGGCAGTCTCAGAGAGAGGGTTTTTTTGGGGGGAGGGGGGTAGAGTTGTCGATGCCACCAACGATAGAAAGTTAAAGGTGGTGGGGGGGGAGGCAAGTGACTTTGTGTGACACAACCAAGTGTGTTAATTTCTGGTTCTTCAGTCACAATTCTTTTCCCTTTTTGACACCATTTAGAGTGTGCTTTCATGTGCACATTTGACAGAGTGAAGGCGCATGCTGACAAGAACTTGAGTGCGAAGAGCTCGGATGAGCCTTTTCCAGCCTCCCTAAAAGGAGCATTGAAGTGGCCGGAAGAATCGTCCTCGGGCACAAACAACTCCCCCTTCCCCTGACTCCCGACGGGAAATGACGTCAAGTTCAGCTCTGCCTCAGTGTGTGGACTGGTCTGCTTTTCGAGTGCCTCTGTGCTGCCCTGCAGTGCTTTTCGATCAGACTCCAGCTGGCTTATGTAGCAGTGTAACACTCCAAAACAGGTTACTGCCGGTCGGAGGGAAAGATCTGGGCGGACTTGTGGTGATCAGGCAAACTCCTGCTCTCTGGCACAGCAGTGTAAAGAGTGAATTTTGCGGTACTTTTAAGTCAGACATCGGTGGTAAGTTAGACAGACGGAGGCAACACATTTCTATTCCACCAACTCTTGAAATGACACATGATTGTGCTCTTTACTTCATCGCCTCTTGCCCTATTGCTTTTATAATTATTCACAATAAATAAAGAGTCAGGAAAAATCAAATGGAAGGGGGTAAAAAAAACCAATAGAAAATGAAAAATAGAAATGAAAAATAATATCACAAAAAATTATCAAAACAATGTCAATTTAAAAAAATAGAAATTAATCTCTCTGTGGCCAGTGTTCCAGCTGATGTTACTACATAAAAAAAAACAAAGGATGTGACGGATGATGTGTTTAGAGGATATCATAAAAAAGTATGCCACTGTTACCTGAAAATAAAACATGTAAAAATGATTAAGGCGATACTGGTAACCTGCAACATAAAACCAGGCAAATTAAAAAAAATAGATTAGAAAACTAAATAAATCAAAAGAAATCAACAAAAGTGACAACCACCTATGACAACACGAGCAGTATCCGAGAAACAAATTTTGCAGAGATTGCCACAAGCACTGCAGGCTAATATTGTCTTAATGGCTTTGCAATGGCTGGTTAAAAAATAAATAAATAAATAATCCAACCATTTATAGCTTCATTCTACATACCGAACATAACAAACAACAACAAAAACACAATAAAAGTAAATGCTCCTCTTATTCCCGTGGCCGGATTCTTGTGTGTTGCTTCAGTAATCTCTCTTTTTCGTTACTGTTTATGTCGATGTGTTTCCAGTGTCTTTATGGCCTCTGTTAAGTAACGATGAACAGTGTAAGGTCTTGGATATAAAGTTCCATGCATTCCAAATTTCTACATTTTCCTTTCTTTTTCTTTCTTTTTTTTTTTTAAATCCACTTCTTTAAAGACATGGCGTGGCGTGGATCGTTTGACGGGGACTGGAAAGAAAGAAGAATCGGCATTCAAGAAATGCAGAGAGGTGAGGAAGAGGGAACTGTTCCGATCTGGAATGTAGATAAAAACAGAGCAAACCGTGGAAAGAAATGCATGCCAACACGCTCCCTCTGTGTCGGCCAAGTCATTGTCATCGTCTTATTCATTCAGAGAGACGTTTCTGTTTCTTCATTTTGTCAGCAAACAAGAAGTCTTTAGTACCAGAAAAACCTGCAGTTCTCCAACGGTTTAATCCGTTTGCCCCACGCTTTCTTTACTTCGAAAAGAGACGGAAAAGAGGAGAGAGGGGAGTTTGGTTGATACTTTTCCTTGTTTTAGCAAAGGACTATGAATGCAAAGATTCCTGCATGCCACCAGCTTGGTAAAGCCAGCATTTCCTATACGCTGTTAGCGGGAATGAACATCAGCCCATGACAACAGAACTGCATCACCCATATACACCAACCATATTTCCGTCCACTGATGTTAAATCTACATGGAGGGCCTGAGTTGGTTCCACGTGTCTCCCTCAGCTGTGGAGATCTCCAAGGAAAACCAAAAGCAAAGACCAATTTTAGCTCCCAGTTGCTCTTTTGGATTTGGAAGAACTGTGGGTTGGTTGGTTCAAGGACTCTGCAGTATTCACATCTGCTTCTTTGGCTGGGACTTCCGGATGGATGAAGAGACTCCTTCAGAAGATGGATCCTGGCTTGGACTTTATCTAAAAAAAAACAAAAACAGAAAAGGAATTTTATCAAAATATAGAACACACCCCGTTTGGTCTGGTGTCTCTGTATGTATATGTTCATAAAAGTCTACTGTTAGATGCATTAGCAGTGGTGCATCATTTGCTACCGCACCAATATAACCCACTGTAACTTTGCTTCACCTTGTAAAGCTTCTTTCTTTCACATATGTACACAATAACCACTATTAACAACATCACAGCTGCTGTCCTTTTGACATAGAAGGCACAGAGGGGACAATGGATTGAGTCCAGATCTTTTGTGTGAACTATAGACAAGGATAAAGCAGAATAGTGTTTCCCTGTGGATATACATTTTTAAATGTTAAAGACACACAGACATTAAAGGAATTAGTCTACACATTTGTACTGATGTCCACTAGAGGGAGTGTTAGTCTAAGGAATAGACTGCCGGTCTTGCTTGTTGAACAGATGCACACAAACACACAAGCACATAATAACAGTGGATAGTAAGCATGCTCCCTTACTGTATGTCTGCACATTAGTGAAGCAGAGGATTCTGACAGAACAAAGCTAATAATACTGTAGCAATAATTTAATACTCAGTGATTTTGCTAAATAAAGTCATCATTCTCACCAATTCGTGCTTACAGTTTCTATGCATTTCACTTTTGCAATTAAATTTACGTCACACCTGTGAGATTGAGGTCTTTCATTGAGAAAAAAAGAAATAGTGCTGAGTCTTGCTCAAGAAATCCTGTTTTCATTCACTCAGAACTCTTTCCTGCTTCAGCCTTAAAAGTCAAAGCAAATGACAAAACACTGCAGTTTATATGTGCAGCACAATGTAATCAATTAAATGCAAAACACCTGCATGTTCCAGGCAATCCCTTCTCATTTGCATGTTCAGAGGAGAGAGGAGTAGAGGGAAACAAGATATAAGCATCACAGATGCTCAAGCCACCTCAGCTGGTTCTTTTCACTGTGGAGGACTAGCGGCTCAACTCTGAGTGTTGACTGAATGGCCAACCTTCTCCCCCTTTGGCTAAGAAAGACCACAGCCACCCATTAGCGGAAACACATCTCTGCTTTTTGTATTCACGGTGGTGACCGACAGCTCGTGTCCGTAGATGAGGGTATTAGCATAGATCGACCGGCTTCACTTTCACATTCAGCTCTCTCTTCCCCACAACAGATCTGCATCACTGCAGACACCACACCAATCCATCTATCACTCTCACTGAGATCCTTCTACTGTGGGCAACAACTCCCCCTAACCTGGGGTGGGCACTACACTCTTTTCAGCCTGAGAACCACAGCGAGGTGCTAATTCTCACTCTCGCACTCAGCTGCAAAGCGCTCCAACACAAGCTGGAGGTCACTCGGTTACATCGACAAATTTTCTGGTAGAGTCCAAAACCCAAAGGGAATGGGTTTGACTTATTACTGGCCAAAGAGGCCAGATACCACATACTCCTGAAGCACTCACCACATGAACCCCCGAGAGATGTGATTGATTGCCTTCCCTAGGTCTACAAAACACATGCAGGGTAGTTGGACGAACTCCCACACACCCTTAAATATCCTTAGGGGATGACTAGCTGGTCCAGTGTCCTGTGACCACAAAGAAAACTGCATTGTTTTCTCTTGAATCCAAGTCTGAATAACAGACAGATTCTCCTCTTCAGTACCCTGTTGAAGGTTTTTCCAAAGAGGCAGAAGAGTGTGAGCCCTCTCTAAATAGAGGGATCCCCTTCTTGAAAAGGGGATCCCTCTATTTAGATTCCCACCACAATCTGCCAAACGAGAGGCAACAGCCCAGACCTCAATTGAGTGTTGCAGAAGCATGTCAATCAACAACATCCAGAACCTTAAGGAACTCAGGTGGAAAGTCATCCATCTGACAGGTATGGCCAAAAGAGGCTGTTTAACTATCTCAGTGACCTCATCCCACTCATCCCCAAATTCAGCTTCCTCTGTAGAAGATGTGTCAAGCATGGCAGGTTTTTAAGTAATGTTACCAAAATATAATGACTGGAGCATCTACATCATCTGCAAATCAGATTAGCATAACAACAAAGGTTTTGTGTTATTTGCAAAATGCAAAAAATGAACTCATGCAATCCATGAGCTCCTTTTTGTAAGTGATAGTACCAATAAAAATGTATTTCCCTAAAAAGAAATGGTATCAAATGCATATTTGCACAATTACTGCCTTCCAGTTTTCTTTTCCACTGTGCCTGACCCAGATTAACTGCTCCAGCGTGCCATATATTTATATGTTTCCCAGCGCCAGACTTAATCTGTTCCAGTGAGCACAGGCACCCAAAGGGCTGGTACACAACTTGAACACACAAACAAGGACAGTGACTCACACAAAGATGTATTAGTACGAGCACACAAAGACACACTGACTGAGTAACTGGACAGAGGGAGGAGACAGAGAAATATTGTGGGATGAGGGGACACTATGTGGCCAAAGATATCTACACACATATTTCTATTTTGGTCTGTTGACTGGTTGATGATCGCTTCAGTCCTTATTATTTCAGATCGGGAAATTTGAAGACTCAGGTTAAAAAGAAATCATATTTAAGAGAAAGTGAGTGGAAGGCCCTTTCTTGTGTCAACGTGGCAAACCAGAGGGCCACAAAGAAATGCTTCCATGCTCGTAGGAAACAAATAGTTTATATCATCAAGAACGTTTAGGCTGAAATGAAAGATTATCACGGACTCAAGCAAGTATCAGTGTGGCCAACCTATTTAGTGTTCTTGTGGCTCAATGGGAGCAAACCCCTGCAACCAGGCTCTTTCCAGAAGACTGGAAGCTGTTTAACCAAGACATGAATGCACATGGTTTTGTCATGAGATCGTAACATAGGATTTAAGTAGTTTTTGAGTCAATGGCAGCTATGGAAGTACATTTGACATATAGCAAAGAAAAAAAAATGCAAGGATTAGATAGCAACAACTGGGAGAAAAGAAAAACAAGAAATCAATTATTATTATTTCTCCATGGGTGTTGGAAATTAGACAGAGCAGTAACAGAACAAGAAATAGGAGACTTCTACAGTTGATGGAGAGAAAAGAAAAGATCTGGTAAAAAGAAAAGCAAAAATGGGAGCACGCACAGAGAAAAAAGGGACAAAAAAATGTCTGACAGCAGGAGAAAATCAGAATCAGAATCAGAATCAGAATACTTTATTCATCCCGAGGGAAATTAGGGGTTACAGCAGGCAGCACGCTAATGGCGCATGCGCACTCACAAAGGAACCTGTAAATGACATATAGAACTCCCTCTGCAGCATTTAGTCATGTGGTGTGTGGCTGCAGAGCACTTAGAAACACATGCATGCACAAGAAGTCTCACACGTATATGCAATCTATAGGCTCATTTTATTATCTTTTATGGCACACATGCAACACTGCACATACCCTGAGCAACAGTAGCAACATCAATGCCTGCCCATTACCCCAAGTTGCTACATCTGGTGAGAAATATTTACTTAAAAAATTGGATCGGTACTTATTTGATTATGAAAGGTACGAGGAGCTGGGATGGAGGTGGGTTGCAAAGTGGCTTGTAGACATGCAATTTTGAGCAGAGCAGATCAATTCATAAAGCATTTCTATGTGACATTCTCTCACTGGATGTGTGAAAGCGGGTCAGGCGAGCCATCAGCTACTTACACTTCAACTGTAGCATGTAACTCGACTTTGTGGTCTACCTAAATTAACCCTATGATTTTATATTTGGTAATGTAAGTTTCTGCATATAAATACATGGTTAAAGTTAGAGAGAAATGTATGGTTACAATATAAAAAAGCCATAAAAAGAAGATGCCATTATTTAACCAAAACTACAATATCCCTCTAATATAGTTTTAATATTTTTTTAACTAAATTGTTTCCATCAGTGGACTAACAAACAGAACTGTGACAGTAACTCTGGCTGGAATAGTGCAGTCGTATAAAGTTATTCAGTAATGTGATTAATATGTGATCTAAAAACAGATGTCTGAAATTTATACACAACACATACTTACTGTTTAAAACACTTTAAGTACTTTTTCACTTACAACTATTGGTATAATTGATTTATATTTAGGTAGTGAGGTTGTTGCACCTTCTGACTTTTGTGATGTTGTCATCAAAGTATATATAAAAAACTCCCAAAATATACCTTGGCCTTTTTTTAGATTCTGACGTGCAGTCATTGTGCAATGTCATCAAAACAAAGGAAAAAGATCAAGTATTTAGGCAAACATCTCATTTTATTAGTCTCACTGTCTCACACTGAGCGTTGATCAAAGACAAACACTGATAACGGTTTAGCTAAATTTCGGAGCTTTAGCTCTCTTTGGTTCATTGAGCAACAAAATGAGCTGCCAACCGTATTTGGATCCTATTTGGAGTTTGATGTTTTGTTGCCATTTCATAAATCAGTGCAACAGTTTTAGAACTGACAGCTTTCAAGGTGCAATCCAAAATAAACCAACTGGTTTTAAGCTTTTTGAGAAACAGACAACGCGCAGATAATCTCCACATGACAAAGGCTGTATTATGGACGCGACAATTTACAGATGTACACATTTTTGCTTTTTGTGTGTGTGTGATAATTATCGTTATTATCACAACAGTGACTGACATACCACAAAACACTTGAGGAACTTGAGAATCTGAAAAGAAACATTTTACAGGGAGGCTTTCCACGGATGAAAAGATCTTGATGGATCAGTTAGGTAAAGTAAAAAGTAACTCACTGTCTGGCCTGTCAGAGAGAGTGGTGTATTCTCTCTTCCAGTGCGTGCACAAGCTGGTAACATGAAGCATCCAGAGGATTTCAGTCCTTGTTGGCTGCAAGAGGAAGCAGGAGTATTTTAGGCATCTTACAAAGTACATTATATTGTATGTACAGGGATTTTTTTTTAGTCTTTGCACATTTGTCACACTTACATGTTTTAGATCATGAAATAAATTGTAATATCAGACAATGTTAACATGAGTTAGAGAGGTCAAATGCACTGCAATTTCAGAAAACACCAGCAAAAAGTTTAAGCTTTGTGAGTGTTGAGTACTCACCAGTTTGCTCAGCTCTCCTCTCTGTTCCCCGCTCTCTCTCTCTCCTTTCTCTCTCTCTTTTAGTAAAATAAAAGCAGGGGGAACGCAACAGGTTTTTCTGGTATGAGGCCTCATGGCTGTTTGAATAGTCCTGCAAACACACAAATATTCACTTTGAAAAGTCAGCATATCAAATTGCTAGTGCTACAAAAAGCAGTACATTAGCTTACAAATCCTTCAGCAGGAGAAATTATGCACCGATGTCTGCAGTACATTCATCCTTTAAAAAAAATCCTTTTTGTGTAAAGGCCCAGTAAATACAATTAAAGGTATTTACAAAACCTGCTCATCACTGTCTTATTTATTTATCATGGTTCTGCAAATTCAAAATGACTTGAATTTGCTTTCATGTCTCAAGTCAAGAAATCATTTTAAAACAAATACTATCTCTTCCAAATCAGTTGTCTCAAGTCTACAGCTCCGGTGGTTGTAGTGAGCGCAGCATATGTACATTCAGCTGATAACCTGCTGCGTACACAAACAGCCTGTGTGATGCAAACTGTGGGTCATAGTAGCAATTAGCTGTCATTGTCACTGTTAAATTCTCACCCTGCTTTCACAGAGCAGCAAGAGGACCAAATATAAATTAGCACTAACACAATGACACTGAGACACAGACACACTGCTCACACACTGATTCATGAACACACTGGCTGTTCTGTGTAAAACCATTTTAAGCCGCCCACTCCCCACAGCCTGCAAGAGTCAACACATAACATGCTCCAGCTAGCTGTCAAAATCCCACCAGACTTTGAACTAGCAGCATCTCGCAGAGTTATTTTTATACCTAATGTCTGAGATGCACTCGTCCACTGAAGACAAGGAGAAATCTTTCCAGGTCTTTGTACATGAATCACTGACCAAAAATACAACTGCTGTCTGATTGTGTTGTACTATGACAATCAAGAAAAGCGTGCTATTTTTGTTATTCTTTTTTTCTGTCTGTGCTTTTTATAAAATGAACTGTGCAGCGACAGGACAATAAATGAAAGAGAAATTCTACTATTTACATATTTTATACATTATCTGCTGTATCTTATGGATGCGTGTCTTTGTAAAGAGCATGTAGGAATGAATAGGAGCAAAAAAAGGGGAAAAAATACCTTAATCTTAGCACCTCAGAAGAAAGAGGTGAACTTCTTGCCAAAACCAGAGATCGCTGGAGGAAAGTGGACAAAAACGGGGTGTTAGATGAATGTTGCAGATTTCTCTGTGGGTTATTGAGCAATAAAGTAAAATTGAGTTGAAAAAGTTTCTTTTTTCTAACAGTTATTTATACTTTATTATCCTTTTTATCGTAATCAGTTCAGTACTAGATTACAATCAATTTTATTTTTAATGCGCTCTCTCTGTTTTCTGCTGATTCATTGGCGTTACCTTCTCCCAGTTTGCCAGCCTGCTCGGCGGCTCCTCCAGGCAGGATCTTGGAAAACATGCCTTCTCCTTCCATGCCCGGTTGACCTGCTGCAGCACTGCCAATACCACCAGGTCTAGGAGCAGCTTTGGAGCCTGGACAAAAATACAGCGAGTGGAAGAAAGGGAGAGGGTGATGGGATGTGGGAGAGGAAACGTGGCCAGAGACGAAAATACGGAAGAAGACTGAGAGTAGCGGAGGAATCTATATTTGTCCAGATTTCATATTCGGTGGCACCTGTTAGCAAATATGAATTTTATGATGGGATCTGGTGTCCGGAGTTGTGTGTCTATTTACCGAGCTTTAAAAATTAGGGCAGTGCAGGGCAGGGCAGTAGAAGAACTGCATCACTCATCAGTTGCCCTGTTGAGTTTTTTCTGCCCTTTAAGTTTGCTGATTTATTTGATTTATTTGCTTGCCTGCAGCCGTTCTTTGGTCATTAGGTCCCCTCGGATAGACCTACATAGGCTTCCTGTTTGCTGATTTCCTTCCTTAAGAAAAATTTGCTTCATCCCATTTTCAGCTGGATCTTCTATCTACTCATTCGTTGAGATGTTTAAATAATTGATTTTCCAACAAAATGGCAATTTCACTAAAATATTAATTAGCCTTTGATGTTCTGTCCCAAAACAGCACCAATCCAGGTGCTATTTTTAATTCTTCTTCTTTCGGTTTCCCTTTTACGGGTCACCACAGCGGATTATCAGCCTATCCTCCATCTCACCCTATCCTTATCATACTGTTCTTTCACACCAACATGTCCTTCCTTTCTGCATCCATGAATCTTCTACGTGATCGTCCCGTATATCCACTATCCCTCCTCTGCACATGTCCAAACCATCTTGCTCAACCTGAGCTGTCCCTCTGATGTACTTGTCCCTCCTGATTAGTCCCAATGAAAATCTTAGCATATTCAGATCGGCCACTCGAACTCGGCCTCCTGTCTTTGTATCCAAGCTACTGTCTCCAAACCACAAATCATAGCAGGTCATAGTGGCTCCACCCACTTTCTATTACTTTGGCTGGTTGACCCCAGGTATTTAAACTCTTTCACCTTCACTACCTCTACTCCTGGAATCTTCACATCACAACCCTATATTGTGTCTTGCTTCTTCTGGCTTCCAGTCTCCTCTACAGTGTGCGCCTCCACCTCTACACACTCTTCTTCCTGCTCCCTACTCTCACTACAAATCACAGTGTCATCAGCAAACATGACTCCAGTATCAGCTCATCTGTTAAGCTGTCCATCACCACTTCATTATAATGTTTTGTAAGGTTATTTCTAAAAAAGAAAAATGTGAATTTTCTGAATTTAAAGTTGAGAAATTAGATTCAAATGATTGGACTAAAAATTAATGATTAAAAATGAAGAATGTTTTTTAAAAATCTTTCATGTCCCTCGATTTATCCATGTATGAAACAAGTTAGATTAGCTGCTCTCCCTTTAAGGTCATCCTCTCTTCAGTATAAAGACAGAAGGAAAACAACTGTCTGTAACCAAGTTTTAAGGGCAGCGACCTCAAACTAATGATCGATTCAGTATTGATTCATTTTAATAGAAAGTTACTAAAAATGTTAGAAAGGGGTAAAAAAGCAGATATTATTTTGCGAGATGAAGATTAACACAAATATACTACTATACTATTACCTAACTAACACATTATGTCGTGACTTGGCATATTCATGAGGAATTACTGCCATGAAGTGAAAGCCCTCCTGTGTGTTTTTCCACTGTTGGATTAGCTGCAGATTAATCTCAGATTAGATGAAAGAGTGCGCAGTGGTTACATAATTCAGACATAGTGGGAAGCAGTTGGCAAGTTGTGGAATTTTGGGATTCTGTGTGTTTTGTGTGTGTGATGAGTGTACAGTACCTATGCCTGTGAGCGGGGGCTGGGCAGTCTTTGAGGCCAAGACAGGTGCTGCTTTTGCTCCAATAGCTGTTGCTGGAGGTGTGTCGATCTTGGGCTGGAGGCAGAAAGAGATGGAGAGAGGGGGAGAGAAAAGGGTCAAAGTTCATCCATTTAGAAATACTGACATCCCATGTTTACCTTCTTTTCACTGCAAAAAGGTTGGAAGTAGAAGACAGTCAGGGAAAAATGTCTGCCATGTATTCACATCGCTGGTGGCAGACAGGAATTGGAGGAATGTGGGATTTAGTTCTGTTTACTCGAATAAAACTTGAATGAAAGAGTGAGACAATACGAGATAAAAAGAGAAGAAGACAGCTGAAGTGATAGATAAGAGACGGAGAGACAGAAGCAAGACTGGAGAGAAAGCTGCTCCCTTATTGTGTTGTATTGTGACAGCTCACTGAATGATGACTGACTGAATGATGACTTTCAACACTGTGAAGTGTCAGTCTGAGGGTTTTCTCTTGAAAAAGATGGAATCTCTTCTGTTAAGTGGGGTTGATTCACAAACCCAGAAGAAGAAAAAAGTGAAAAAACATATCTACAGAGTCAATGCACCCTGACATTGGTTGTTAAAGTCCCTGGAGCCCTCCTGGGGGAAAAGAAAACTCTTTTGTACTAATTTGAACTGTCCCTTTTTTAAGGGGACAAATGGACTAAAACCAAACACTGGAGCTTTTTCTTTAACTTCTCACCCTTACACACTGATCATTATGACCAATTAATAACTAATAACTATCTCTTCATCATGGGACTTGTTAATATTAGGGTGCAGGTGAGCATTTTGTCTTCAAAGTTGACGCGTTAGAAGCAGGAAAAAACGGCAAGAGTAAGGATTTGAATGAATTTAACAAGAGAGAAAATGTGATGGCTAGACGACCAAGTCAAAGCATCTCCACAGCTGCAGCTCTTGTGGGGTTGTTCCGGTCTGCAGTGGTCAGTATCTATCAGAAGTGGTCACAGGAAGGGACAGTGGAGAACCAGTGACATGGTCAAGGGCAGCCAAGGCTGACAGATGAATGTGGGGAGCAAAGGCTGGCCCGTGTGGTCCGATCCAACAGATGAGCTTTCCAGCTCAAATTGCTGAAAAATCTAATGCTGGTTCTGATAGAAAGGCGTCAGAATACACAGTGCATCGCAGTTTGTTGTCTATGTTGCTGCACAATCACAGACCAGTCAACTGACCCCTGTTCACCACTGAAAGACCCATCAATGGACACGTGAGCTCACAACTGGCCCACAGAACAATGGAAGAAGTTTGTTGGCTCAGTCTGATGAATCATGTTTTCTTTGACATCACATGGATGACTGAGTGCGTGTTCGTCGCTTCACAAGGGAACACGTGGCACCAGGATGGACTTTGGGAAGAAGGCAAACTGGTGGAGTAAGTGTAAAGCTTTGTGCAATGTTCTGCTAGGAAACTCTGGGTCCTGCCATTCACCTGAATGTTATTCCCTGATGGCCGTGGCCTCTTTCAGCACGATATTGCACCGTGCCTCAAAGTAAAAATGGTTCAGGGATAGTTTGAAGACCACAACAACGAGTTTGCGGTGTTGACTTGACCTCCAAATTCCCCAAATCTAAATCCAATCAAGCATCTGTGGGATGTGCTAGACAAAACAAGTTCGATCCATGGAGGCCCCACCTCACAACTTACTGCACTTAAAGGATCTGTTGCTAACATCTTGGTGTCAGATACACACGCAACACACCTTCAGGGGTCCCTCGACAGGGTCAGGGCTGTTTAGGCAGCAAATGGGGAACCAACGCAACATTACAGAGGTGGTCATAATGTTATGCCTGATCAGTGTGTTTGATACTTTTAAAACCCCTGGAAAGAATTACTACTAACTACCAAAGTATAGTTTTATATAAAAATGCTTCATTTCATTTCTTTTCTTTTCATTTTTTTATCTTGAGTTCTGATGTTGCTGTCAATCAAATCCATATTTAATCCATTTATTCCCTTGGCACTCATCTATGTGACACAAAGTTGCCAGTACTGGAGCTGATAGGTTCAGTTGATTTATTTGAATCTGCTGTGTCATTGTGATCAGTTTGAAAGTTTCTGTGCTGTTGTGTCCCTCTCTCTCAAACCCCCACCCCGGCACCCCACTGCTCTGCATTCAACATCTGAGAACTAAATGGACAATGGCCTCAGGAAAGATACACACCAGACCATTTCTGATATCCATCACAGTAACAGCTTGGATTATCTGAACACAGGAAATATGAACCAGTGTTTGGATCCCTGTCATTTTTATCTTTTATGATTGACTGGCTCCTCTGTTTTCTGTAAACTGTGTGTGTGCGATTTATTTAAAGCTTCTATTTAAAGCAATCCATAAATAAACCTGACTTCAAAGACAGTGAACTGTTATTTTTAATCCCAAAATATGCTGCATCATTTCCATTTCATTCTTTTTGCTGCTGCAGAACATAGGTGATGCATAATGGTGCACAATGCAGCATACAGAATTTCATTATTTACAGCCACTTAATCAATGCTTTTTAATTACATAATGGACCCAACATAAGAGTGCAAGTGAATGAGTTCACACGCTGAATAATTATCATACCGCAATTTTTTTTGTTTTGTTTATGGTTTCCTGTCAGAAGCATTTGCAAAACCCATCCCTGCATAATTTTACATCAGATTTTATGAACAATTTCACTTTTCGTTTTTCCTGCTGACTTTATACTAATGTACCAAAATGAAACTCATGAACACCATTCAGCTCTGAAAGCACATTATGAATGATTCTGGGGTAGTAATAACCGGCATGTTGATAGTGGCTTTGTGAGCTTGAAAGTCATTCATATATTTACTAAAGATTGAATGAAGAGAATCTCTGAACTATCTCAGGTTTTGGGTTAAATGTCAGAGTGAGATTTTTTTGCTTCAGCAAGAAAAATAGATTGACATGGATTTCTGATTATGGAGGAAATGCAGGGTGAGAATAGATTTTTGCAAAGAGACTTTATGAGTGAGAATTTCTTGAGCATCTAGCAGACAGTGAATCAGCTACGCTGAGTTATCAACTGCCTCTCTGTTAATCACAGTGTAAGATAAAACTTGCCAGCAGAGGCGAGGCAGAATTTCAATATACTATCTGAACTGGGAGGAGGACCAGCTCTTATCTCGGGGACTGTGGAGGGACAGTGGAGGATGGAGGAGTGCAAAGGAGACAAGTGGAGACAAGCTGAAAGTGAAAGGGCTGGAGGACTAAAACAAAATAAATTGTTACTGTGCAGTAGGATGGCATATGTAATGTGAATATTGAAAGATATTTTTGTAATGGTCATGAAATACTTCTTATGTTACTTCATAAAACCAAAAACATCCTTTTATGACATTTTCTTCAAAATGTCAAATACAAATGTGAATTGAACCATTTGAGTGCACCGAAAGATGTATATTTTTTATTTTTACCTCATACAGAATAGAAAACAAAACAAGCCTCAAATCCTTACTTAGAAGAGTCATCTTTTCTTTCTGGACTCACAATTGTGGATGTTGTGGTTCCTGTTGGACCTGTCTGCCTGGCTTGGCCCATGGGTCCACCTGCTGGTCCCATCTGCCCCGGTTTGGCCTGGCCCTGGCCCTGGCCCTGGCCCTGTCCCATTCCCATTCCCATTCCCATTCCCATTCCCATGCCCATGCCTTGTCCTTGGGCTTGGGGCTGCTGCTGGGAGCTGTTGGTTGTTGTGGCACCGGGCTGCCCTGGTCTGGTTGCTGAAGTCTGGGCTTGCTGCTGGAGTTGAGCCCTCTGTCCCAGAGCCCCATCTGTCTGGGAACCCGGGCCACCTTGCCGTCCTGATCCCGTAGGCCCACCAGCAGATCCCTGAGCCCTAGCAGAGCCACTGCCAGACCTTGAGGAGCCTGAGTGGAAAAAAAGGGTGTTTTTTATAAACAGTTTGTGGCTATTGCTTGAAAATGGACTCTTCTTGCCAATAAAAAAAACAGGACATTAATTCAGCACTGATTTTTTCTGCAGCTACTGCCTGAAGGCCTGTAACTGTTGTCAAAACTGAAGGAATGATTGGCAGCTGAAAGGATTCAGTCAACACATCTTTGACCTTTGCGTCATCTGTTTCTTGTCTTGTGCACACATTTCCAAGTCAGTTATGCAAGTTAGATGATTTCCGCTACCATCTTCCACAGAGAAAGTTATGCTTTTATAAAACCAAAACTACAATGTACTGATAAAAGAAGCGGCTTACTCTGGCTTTCTCTTATAAAGTACTTTCAGATTTTATTACAGTGTAATAGTAACTGACAGGAAACACAGGCATGAGATGATGACACACAACAATGTTGTGAGCATAGATGAAAGCAGTGATTTAATGACTGCAGTGCTAAGAAAACAGCCATGGTGCTGCCTGCAGATAGCACATTTCTTGGAAAACATGTGCCTGATATTATATAGTTAATTAGAAAATGTTGATCCCTGAGGGAATATATGAGTGTAAAAAAAGCATCAAACACAATCTGAACAACAGGGGTTATTAAATACTTCTACCTAAGACTTAAATGATTTAAAAAAGAACACGGTATTAACTCCAGTGCCTGCTGTAGTTTCATTTTTTAAGACACATTTATAAAAGTGACACAATCATGTGTTCAGTATTAAGGTTAAGCTCATGGATCAGCATTATTAGATCAGACACTAAAAACAAGAAACGAGCTTCATTAGTTAGGGATATATAATAGTGCAGGTGCTATTATGAAAAAGTTTTGAGATTTATGGCGAAAAGCAATATAAGTGTTTTTTTTATTTTAAACTAAACTAACTGAAACATACTTCAGTCTAATCTATATCGCCCACATAAGCAGAATCCGAATGAGATCTAATGCTGTTGTTCTCAGGAAAAGTACTTTTAGTTGATGCATCTTTTACTGCTTCTTCATTGTCTTTCATTATAAAAACAATGACATTATAACGTAGTGTGTAATATAACATTCAATAATATATAATTGCTTTCAATTCTCAGATAAATGTGCAGTTAATTAGAGAATATAAATCAATTGAACAGTCAGTCCAATAATCACATAATCAATAACTTAGATAAACTCTTTCTAGTCTGTACAATATTTTGCAATATACTTAAGTCAACGGGTTTCGAATACACTGTAATTAACCTATACATTGAGGTATAAAGTACAAAGACTGCGCTCTAATCATGTTTGACAAGAGATTCAACATTCGTATGTACCTGGTGGCTGCCCCTGCATGTCCACTGGACCCTGGGACTTGCTACGTGAAGACCTGTGTGGGTCGCCCTGTCTGGAGGAACGCTGGCCATGATGATGCCCAGATGAGTCGCGGGAGTAGTCGGAAGAGTGGTACCCACCGGATCTTGAGTCAACACGTCTTCCTGTAGATGAAGATCTTCCTGAGGGATCATGGCGCATAGATGGGTCTTTGGGGTGCCCCTTAGAGGATCTTGAGGACCTAGGTTCATCTGAATGACGTGAGGAGGAAGAATGGCGGCTAGAACTGCCATGGTGTCTGTGGTCGCGAGATGATGAGTGTCGCCCTGTGTGGCCATACTCATCTTGGGGCCACAGGTCCTCCTCAGGAGGCTCATCATAATCATGGTAGGTGTGTTTGACACTGTGCCGGCTCCTCCCAGAGTGGCTGCTACCGTAGTGACGAGAACTGGAGCGTGGCTTCTCAAACCAGTCGGTTTCTTCTTGGCCCAGATGGTAGGCTTTGGAAACCGAGAGCAGATCACAGTCAATCTCCATGTCGTTCGGAGACAGCGGCATGCAGGCTGAAAGAAGGAAGAAGGCAGGAAGAAGACCAACCGCATGCAAAAGAAAAGAGTGGGTAGGGGTAGACACAGAAAGAAGGGCAGAAAAATAAAAATAAAAGTTTTACATCCATGCACTTAACACTTAAAACATGTAAACTTCACACAATACAAGACAATATTACCAGAATAAAACAAACACTGCAAAACTGTCTGCTTTGGCTGCTGTTTTTGTGTTCATTTCAAATTAAAAGCCAGTGACAGAGGAGGACAGATATCCTGCACTAAGACACTGTATAACTGCTCTGGCAAGACAAAGCAGGTATATAAAACAGTCAACCTCTATTTAATTGCTGATTTGAGACAATAACACCTCTTTGACGGAATAAATATCAAACCTATAGGGGGGGACTGTTTTGCAGTGTAGATCCAAACACATGTAAAAACATAAGTAAAGATAAAAACCTGTAAAGAAAAAACAATGCATTTGTGTCGTGCAAAGACCTTTCAAGTGAATCAGAGTGTAGCGAATGACGAAAACGACCACGCCGAAGAACCATGCGAGTTTGGAACAGACAGACGACTGGACGGACAGGCGGAAGGACGGACAGGCAGGCAGACAGACAGATAGCAGTCCACTGATACGAGAGCTCCGAGTGACTCTCAGGATGACGAAAACATTAGCATGCAACAGCTATATCTGTCTCTTTTTTACTTTCTTTTTCTTTGCTAAGTCTAGCCTTTGGGTGGGTGGGGGACGTTTAGATAAACGTTGGGAGCAGTAGAAGGTAGTGAGACTGTGTGGGATTTCATCTCCCACAATTACCTTCGCTGTCTGACACAGCGCAATGATAATCGTCTATAAAGTATGTATCATCCGATTTGTAGACGTGTGTCCGGGGAAGGTCCCTTATGTGGTCTTGAACATCTGGCAGCGAGTGACTGGAACCATAATGGCCATAATAGTATTTATATCTACCGCTGTGACTGTCATACGGGTCGGGACCTAAACTTGACGATCGCCCAGAACCCATGAACCTCCCCAAAGGACTCAGGGGACTCTCCTCTTCAGAGTATTGTCGGGTTGGATGGCGCCCCCTGTAGCCAGATCGATAGGAGCGGTCGTCCCTCTCATAGGATCGGCTGCGATACCCGGAGTAGTCCCTGGCTGAGATCTTGTCCATGCCGTAGCCAGTGGAGCGGGAACGGCCAGTGGAGGTGTAGTAAATTCGATCGTCCTCATCCGTCGTCATACTATAGTATCGACTACCATGAGTGGTGCCACTGCCACTGTCGTAAGCACTCCTCTTAAAACCGTAATCCTCGATCAGCTGGCGTCCTCGAATGTGAGAGGAGGGGTAAGCCGCACCTGTCACTGAGGAATAGGAGGCCAGGTCTGCCTCCACATCCCGTGCCTCCTCAATCGGGGAAAACTTGGAGATTTTTTGCTCCATACTCCCCAGCTTCCTGTGCTTGCTGCGCTTGGATGACATGACAGCAGGAGCCAGAAGGGTTCTGGAGGACGGTGAAGGTTTCTGTACCCCAGAGCGGATGCTGCCATGTTTGTAGTCGAAGTCATAGAAATAGGGGGATCCCCCACCCATGCTAGCGCTGCTGCTGCCCCCTAGAGGTCCGTGCCTGTAGCTGCTCTTACCCCTGCCATGGTGGTCGTACAGCTCTTCCTGCATCGCTGCTTCCTCCTCGGGTGCCCTGCCATAAGAGGAGCTGCCAGTTCCCCCACGCGTCGTGCCAGTGGTGCTGCTGTGGCTGTGGATGTCGCCCGGGTAACGCCCACTGCCGCCATGATGCATCATGTCCCCTGTCATCGTGCCCAGCCCATCTTTTGCCGTCAGCTCGCTAACATCATCTATCATCATGTAGTTCCTCGGAATGTTTTGCTCTAAACCAGGAGCCCCATACATCCCATCTGCTGTGCTGTAGGTGGAAGGACTGTCTACAGAGTGCCCGTAGGCATTGGACACAGTGGAAGTATACTGTCCATATGAGCTGGCTGTGGTGGTGGTGTAGCCATAAGTATTAGCAGTAGTTGTGGTATACTGGCCATATGAACTTGTGGTAGTGGAAGTATATTGGCCATATGTACTGGGGGGCATTGTTGAGTACCCACCGTAGCTGCTGGACACTGGTGCTGACCCATAGGGCCCATACGAGCTTGCCATGGTTGTTGCTGCAGTGTACTGAGCATAGGATGGAGCTCCACTGGAATAGGTAGCATCCTGAGCAGTAGTGGTAACCACAACAGTAGGGTTGCTAATAGTCTCATAGTTGGTGGGCATCTTGTGCTCTAGATCGGCCAATGAAGTCTGCCTCGGTCTTCCTGGATGAACTGTGAGGATATCAGCTTGGGGCTGACCAGGGTATGGTGTGGTCTGGCTGGGGTAGGAGGACACAGCGCTGGGATAGGGTGAGCTGTGGGTGGGGTATGGTGGCTGACCGGGTGGTGCTGGCCCAAAACCTGTATGCCCTGGCTGAGGCTGAGGCTGAGGTGCAGCTGGTAACCCCATGTCTGTCTGGGGGTATGGGGGCTGAGTTTGGGGGTAGGTGTGAGAAGGATATGAGGTTTGAGGTTGATAGGTAGGTCCAGGAGGGGGAGCATGGGTTTGAAGGGGAGTGGGTTGTGGCAGTGCCTGTGACTGTGACACTGTTGGGTAGGGAGGCTGGTTGAATGTTGCAGACTGGTATGGTACACTTGGTTGCTGAGATGGAGCTGCTGGTTGGCTTTGGGGGTACTGACAAGAAAGGAAGGATGAGGTGGGTGGGTATTGGGCTGCGGTGTTGAGGTCACTGGTGAACTGGCTGAGAGGGGCGGTGCTTGGTCTGGTTGTTAGTAGCCCATTACTCTCATGTGACGCAGCTGCAGCTGCTAAACGTAAGTTATTCAACTCACTATCAGACATATAGTCCCTGGTGTCCCCCATACACCTCAGGTAGGCAATATCCCTTCTCTCCCTCTCCTTGACCAATGTCTCCTTCCTTTGGTGGATCCCCAGCTCAAGGTATCTCAGCTTAGCATCAATTTCTTTCTCTTCTTCCTCTAGTTCAGCTTGCTGCTTTCTCAGCTTGGTTGACTCTTGCTCCACGGCCTTGAGCTCATGGGTGAGGTCTTTGAGGAGGCTGGCTTTCGCAGCCAGGCCAGACCTGGAGCTGGGCTTGAGGCTGGGCACGGAGGGCAGGTAGACCTGTTGGAGGGCTGGTGTCATCATGGGCAGGTGAGCTGATGTAACAGTCTCGTCTGGAGGAGGGCTAGGCAGGGTTCGCTTGACCTTGCGGAGCAGTGAGCTCTGCTGTAGGGCTGCCAGCTGGAGAGAGAGAGACAGAAGAGAGAGAAAGAAAGAAAGAGAGACGGGGGAAGGAGTGGAAGAGGAGAAGAATATGGGGGGATTGGTGATGTAAAACATCAGATGTGGGGAATGAGGAGATCAGTGTGATAACAGTGGTTAGGAAGATCAATGGAATAGGAATGGGGGATGGAGAAATGGGAGGTGCGTGTGTGTTGGGGGGGGGTAAGTGAGAATTTGAGATGAACATGGCGAGGTATGGATAATGGGGAAAATCAATAGCAAAGATAGATGAAAAAACAGGTGAAGCAATTAAGCAGAGCAGATAAGTGAGATGTAAAAAGGGTTGAGGAAACAAATAAGGTAAAAAAATAAAATAAGAAAAATAAATTAATGTACAGGGTTATACGTAAAGGGAGAGAGTTGGCGGGAGAGATGACATGCACAAAATATGAGTAGAAGAGGAGGAAGGGAGGAAGAAAAACTCAAAAAGAGAAAAAAAGGGTCAAAGAACAGAAGAAACAAGGAAAGGACGCAACGACAGGGCCATATAAGGGAGACAAAGGAAACACACATAGACAAAAGGACAAAGACAACAGGAAACAAGAGTGGAGTTTGTGTTAGCAGACATACAAAAACAGTGAAATGAGTGGCAACTGTGATAGAGTATTCCATTAATTTAATAGCTACTAATGCAATCAATTTCTTTTTCTTTTTCTTTACAGTTTTGAGTTGATATTTTCAGAATTTTGGGATTTATACCTTTATGTTAATGTTTTCTTAATTTTTTTTAATTCTTATAAAATACTTAGTAATGATGAGACCAGTAAACAACCCAAGTTTAACTAAAGGTTGTGGAGACAGCATGTAGTTTTGTTATGCTAAAATCTATATTCTTACTTAGAATGCACCATGGAATAACAAAAAACCCCCAACATAATAAGCATATGAAGTACAGTATAATGAAGCAAATGAGTATACTGGAAGATATAGCTGGATTTAAAGGGTGGCTAAATGAACCACCATGGCTTTTACAATTTTCCACTGTAAAATCTACCAAAAATAGAGAACAAAAATTAGGATTATCATTGATTTTTCATTTAGCTGTAAATTTTGAGTGCTTAATATTGAATTAATAAAATGCTGAATTTGTGTGGGCTTCCCTGTCAAAACCAGTCAATGATGTGACCATCAAAATAATCTGTGTTTATCTTTGTTTTTATACTGTGTGTAAATAATATATCATCCCATTTGTTCCTACCAAACATATATTGAAATTGTAAATAGATCACAGTGTGTTGTGTGTTATTTTTCATTTCAGTCTGTGTGTAGGCGGAAGCATAAAGAGAAATCCCCTCTGGGACCTATTATTTTCACAATCCTAACATGGAGGCAGTGAAAAATACACTATGAAACACTTTTCAAAGGGTCAGAAGAATACAATGATATGTATATATATATATATATATATATATAAATAGGTACAGTTGGGGTCAGAATGACATTTTAGAGGATGAATGTCATTTTGGATTTTCTCTTTCTACAAAAGATCTAGACAAAGACCCAAACTTCACCCTGAAAATGAAAGGAAATATCGCTATGAACTGAGAGAGTGCTTACTGCGAAAGAAAATATCCCTGCTTCAAAATCTTAGCCTTCAAACAAGACTGAAACTTCCAAATCCTTTCTGGAGAAAAGCTTTAGGGTCAGTCGAGACAAAGATTGAGCTGTTTGGCCGCAATGGCTACAGGTTTGTTTGGGCGAGTAAAATTCAGGAGTTCCAATCTAGGAAAACAGTGCCAACTGCAAAGCATGGTGGTGGTAGCATCATGTTTTGGGGCTATTTTGCTGCCAGTTGTGCTGGTACATTGCATAAAGTGGATGGAATAATGAAGAAGGAGGACTACCTCCAAACTCTTCAACTTCACCGATGGTTCGATGGTTGATTAACATTAAGCTTCTGGTATGTCCTATGTCTGAAAATTTTTGGACTATGCTTCGAAACTGGGTCCATGCCAAGAAACCAACCAAATTAAATAAACTATTCTAATTCTGCAAGAGAAAAGTGGTCTGATATCCAGCCAGAATTATGTCAGAAGCTTGTTGAAGGTTAAAAAAACATGCAGTCATGATGCAACCAACTGAGGAAGATTCAACCAAATATTACTGGGGGTGTATGTATACTTTTCAATTTTCAGTCCAATTCTTGTTCTCTAAAATCGTGAAAGATGTATGATGTATAATCATTTTACTGAATTCAACAAAATCAATAAAAGCCCCAACTTATACATTTGCATACATCCATGACTAGCATATGTAAACTTCTGACCTCAACCGCACATCACAGCATTAAAAAAAAAAAAATAACAATAACTCTCACCCAGGGAAAACCGGATGGGTAGTTGTTGTTACCCAAAACAAGTTAAGCAACATCTTTGCCACATTTCAACAGAGTTGAAAGTTGGTTGAAAATTGAGAGGTGAAGAGTTGTTCTTAGGGTATTAGGGTGTGTGTCTTTGGCTTTACTAGGGTAGATTTTACACTCATTGACACCACCTGTCGTTGTTAGGACAATTTGGCTGAAACAGAAGAGTTAAAATACTGTTTCAGTCTGAGCTGCTATTAATAACGTAACATAATGTACACTAAAGCATTCTTAAGTAATTGCACTTAAGCACAAAACAGTCCTGAGATCTACTAGTCTACAGTCTGTGCACGAACATTCTAGTAGCATCTGTATCAAATGTGACTGTTCACATGTTTTATTGGTCCTTTTTTAAATTCTATTTTTTTTTCCAGACAACCATTATACTGTCATATTGTAGCACAGTGTTTTGTGGTGGCATTAATTAATTCCCTAAGCTATTGTTGTTAATTGATTTTCAGGTATGGTTGTTGAGACAATATAGGTAAGTATGTAATGTCCATTTAAAAGAGTTATTGCTCCTGCTATGCGAGCAAGAGAGTTTCTGTTACCATTGAAACAGTTTAAATACACAGAATGGGTCACAATTATGGCTTAATGTTTTTGTTTTTTACTCTTCAAACCCCAGTAAATAATAGGGGTGGCTGTAGCTCAGGAGGTAGAGCAGGTCAGGCATCGACTGGAGTGTGAATGTGTGTGAATGTTAGGCAGAAAGCACTTAGGGCATAGAACAAAAATGTGCTTGTATGAATGGGTCTGAATTGGTGAATGAGGCATGTTGTATAAAGCGCTTTGAGTGTTCAGGTAGAGTAGAGAAGCGCTATATAAAACCAGTCCATTTACCATAATATGTAAATTGTTGAAACAGCATAGACCTTTATAAATTTAGTCGGAGATAAACTGAAGTTTTGTAGTTTGATCAAATTTAGTTAGTTTGTGGGCAAGCTGCTAGGCTCTTTATCAGTTTTTAAAATCAAGGCCCAGAGTAACTCAAGAGACCTCAATAATAGAGCACATTTTGACTTTGCATGCCAGCTACTGCTGAGGTGTTACTGGTTTCAAACAGAAGATGGGGTCATAAAACTACAAAACAATAACAAAATCTGAAAAATAATCTAACAAAGGGAATTACTCATCATAGCATCCACATGAAACATTCATAGCACTCAGAAAATGAAAACAAGGGCAACATCGAATGAAAGAAATGGTTTCAAAGTTACACAGAGGCCATTCAGTATTAATGCCCTTGCTAGGTTTTGACTCAAATAAACAACGTTATTAAATGTGCTAACTGGCCCGCTGCAGGAGTTTAAAATGTATCAATTTATTTATTAATTGTTAAAAATATTTTTCCACTGTTTTAGTCTATCATTTGATTTTACCGTTTTATATGCGGCTTATAAATCTCTTCACTCTGAATTAAAATATGAATGTAGCATGAAGGATGTAACATATGAAAAGTAATAAATAGTAGACAAACTTTACATCTTTTGGATACTACTGTAAGCTTTGCATACAGAATCACAATCTGTGCATTGCTTTATTTTCAGCTATAAAGTTAAAATAACAGGATTTAATGTTCATCCCACTTTCTTTTCAACTAAAACTTTGACAAAATTTTAGATAATTTTGTGTGAAAGTTAACCAGTGCTGTCATTTTTCCTGTAAAATTTGTATTTTTAACAATATCCAGTGATATTAGAGGTTATCTATACTGTATCCATCTGAATAACATCATTAACTATAAATTTCAATGGCTTTTAGTGTATATCACCATGGTTTGAATGGCTTTACCTGGTTCTGAAGTGCTTGTTGTTGATACAGGGACAACCTGGCCTTCGTGTGCTCATCTGTGGTGGGGCTTAGAGACTTGGGATCTGACATTGACCTCTGAGTGCTCTTGATGGGTCGGGGCACAGAGGGGTGTCGCTGGGGAGATTCGGCTGTGTAGGACTTCTGCTGAGGTGTTACGTGGGCCTTGTTCAGTCGCTCGCTTGACAGAGAAGTCTCTATGAGGCGGTGAGGGGACACCGGAGAGACCGGAGAGTAGAGGACTTGTGGAGATTTGGGGGCTGTTTGCTGCTGGCGAATGATGCTGGAGATCGATTCATTGTGGAGATGGTTGTGAGGCTGGTAATTAATGTCGAGTGGGTCAGGGCGTCGGCGCTCAAATTTGGCAGCATTTGCGGCAATCTGCTGCTGGCGTTGCTGGGTGAGAAGGTCAGAACCTGACTGTTGTGTGCCAGTACCGGCAGAGGACGAATATGGACTGACTGTGGTTGGTACGCTTAGCTGTGGAGCTACAACTCCCTGTGACTGGGCTTCTGGATCAGTCTGGCAAGCTAGAGATTGTCCTTTTTGAGTTCGCTCTGGTCCAGAGATATAGTGCACAATCTCTACTTTGTTAGGGTCTGGTACTGTCACATGGATTGCTGGGGAGACTCTTCCTAGGTGCTCCACTTCCGTCTGGCAAGACATTTCCCTGATTGTCTGAACGCCAATATTGGAGGAAACCATCTTAATTTTGTCAGTTTTGGTATCAGTAGCTAAGGTGGCTGTAGTGGCAGTGCTGCTGCCAGCTGCACTGGACTCAGAGTGCCTTGAGAAACGCGAGCGCCTTCGGCGGACCGGATGCTCTGTCTCAGCCTTGTCCTCGTCATCATCTGTCTGGACAGAGCAGTCAACGCTGCGACCACGCCTCCTGGTGCGATGACGCATCATGTACCTGGCGATGGAGAAAATACACGAAAAACAAAAAATAAAGAATTTTGTAAATCTACTGGCAATATAGGGTATGAAAAAGTGATAACTACAATGCAATAAAGTGCTATGAATATAAATTGTTAACACAAACATTTATCTTCATCCTTTTTGAGTGTGAACTTTTTTATGTTAGTATGCTACTGTATATACTATTGTTCCAACCTTTCCTTCAAGTGATTGATTTATTCTACATGGTATTATTCATAAAATATTAATAAAACCTGTTTCTCCTTGGGTCTTAAATTTAATTACAGACACGTGAAGTAAATTGCAAGGCTATTAAAATAACCTTTGCCTATATACACACAGTTTCACCTCTTACACCCCTCCTCTTTCCCCGTCACTCCATACACTCACACACTGTTTACCTCTCCTCTCCATCTTCATCGTCAGTCTGCACACAGCTATCCACAATCCTGCGGGGGGAGCCGTAGAACACCACGCCATCTCCATCCAAGCTATCTCTAGTCAGTCTGCTCATGGAGCTGTGTTTTCTCATGTTGGTCCTGGCCTCCATTTGCTCCTCCTGGCTCCTCAGGCACATCTCTGACGAGGAGTTGGGCAGAGAACGGGAGCCCATATGAGAGTCTGCGTAGGGGTGCAGCGGCTGTCCATCCAGCTGTACAAAAAAACCATGGGGTTTTAATATTGCTATAAAGCAGTGATTCAAATCAGAATGACAAGGTTGTGTAGCTGCATTTCACAAACACATTTCTTCAAGATAAAAAGGTACACATATCTGTCTGAATGCAGAGTGTCACATGCATACACAGCTTAAGAGCCAGCTACCAATGTTTTTCATTAACTCCACCCCACCCCCACCTGCATGATCTGGGTGACAGCAGCGGTTTTCTGTCTCTTCTGCTCTTCAAGCTGCTGCTGGAGCTGCTGCTGTAAAGACTGGATCTGATCTAGCTGGGACTTCTGCTGAGCCAGCTGCTCCCGCTGTAGAACAAGTTGTTTCTCACGTTCATGCTGTTGCTGCTGCAGAACCTAAACAAAAAGTGTCGGTGGAGATGGGAAGAGAAAGAAGGACATATGGGCAAAAACACAGACAGAGCGAGATAACATAACAGAACAGAGCGTGGAGCATAAGAGGGTGGAGAGATGGAATGGGTTGATGAAGGAGAAATTATGAAATAAGCAAAGTGAAGAATAGTACCAGAACAAGATGAAGAAAAAATTTAAAAACAGAGAAAACAGCGAAAAAGAACCAAAGTCATGATATCTGGTTTTATTCAGGATGATAAAATTTCTAAAATGTAGCCTAAATCACAAGATTCCCACATGTGAATGTGACATGAAGTCATTCTTGTGCTGATGGATTAGTTTTGACAATGGTTCCAAGTTAGTCAAACTTGTATATACTGCAAAAACCAAGAATGGAGGCGCAACATGAATGAAGTGCAGCATTTACTGGTAATTGCTCTTACCAGTCATACAATGCTCTGCAGAAAATATTTAAGGCATTTCTTTTACTGCTAAAATGACAGGCTGATGCAAATAAGCAGTTAGGGGTTTTTGCTTGCACTGTAAATTATGAGATGCATTTTAAACATTCCAGTTCTAGTTTATTCTCATTAAGGAAGACTTCCACACCTGTTTAACAGACTTAAGTTGAAAGATTTTCAACTGCTTGTTCTATTAAAAAAGAAGAAAATTGTCACATTAGCCCTCAGGTTTACTGTGAAAACATCATTGCAAGGCCAAGAGCTCAGAAAGCAATATATTATAACCAACATGTGTGACTGATTTTCGATAGTTTTGCAATATATTTTGGTTTATTTTGCTTGATTTTTATGATTTTATGCAAATTAGTCCGCTGAATGGAACATTTAAACCACTTTTTTGGCCTAAAAGTCAAAGTAATAAATGAAACATGAGACTTTATAAACAGGTATCCTTTTGAAACACACATACAACAGACATCAAACAGACACGCAAACATCATGTGTAAAATTTAAAAAAGCCCAAACAAACACAGCATGCAAACTCATCATTTATAACTAAGGCTGCATAAAAATATTTATTCAGAAAAAAAGTCATCACTTTTGAACAGAATTTTAGCACATTTTAAAGAAATATCTTATGGACTTAATGTATCTGATTAACTGAAAATGCTTGTTTAATATACTTTTTAGAAGAACTGCTAAGAGACAGACATTGAAAGACAATATACTGTTTAAAAAATTAGCTGTTTTTAATGTGTCTTGTTAAGTAGGCACAATACTGAAACACTGAATAAAAGCATTTTAAATGGGATTAAAAAAAGATAACTCAACCAAATACACCACAAATAACACCACCACAAAACTAAACCAAAAAACCAATATCCAATCCAAACACAATAACCACACAACATCAAACAAGACATTAAGGATCAAACTCTGCATTCCACCTCCTGCTTCTCCCTCTACCTGTTCCTTGATGTTCTGCAGCTCCTGTAACTCTCTTTGCACCAGCATCTGCTCCTTCTCCCTGTGCAACTTCAGCTCTAACCTTTCCCTTTCCAGCTCTTCTTGCAGGCGCAATTGTCTGAGTTTCTCCAGCTCCACCCGCTCTCTCTCCATCTGCAGAAGCTGCTCCTGCTGGCGGTGCAGTCTCTCTGCCTCAGTTTCACCCTCTTTGTGTATGGCACCTGGTGGAGGGAAAGGAGGAAGACCACCTGGAATTGGTAAGCCAGCAGTAGGGGCAGACAGGACTGCTGGAGGTTGGGTGTAACCATGTGTTTGTGCAGGACCTGAAAGTGGGTAAGCATGTGCAGCAGGGGCAGGCTGTTGTGGCTGCTGAACAGTTGTTACTTGTTTCTGTTGTTGGCTACTCAGGTGTGCCTGGGACAGGTTTATTGGCTGCTGCTGCTGATCAGCTGGTATGACAACTGTTCCTTGCACCGAGGTGACCTCTGCTGATGAAGAGGACACTGTCGCACCTTTGCCAAGGTAAACTGGTTCATCCTGGACCACTGAGCTAGTTGTCATGGGAACACCCACTAGGGCCCCTGCAGTTGCTGAGGTTGTTGTGGCAGCAGCACTTATGTCAGTGGCTGATGTTGTTTGGAGGCCTGGTGCTGGATAACGGACTGCAGCTTGTCCAGATAAGGGCATTCTGGGGCTCATTGGTAGCCTGCTAAGACTAGATAGGGGCACTGGTGTCATGTTGGCAGAGAGGTATGGCCTGTAGACTCCTCTTATTAGTGGTCGAAGAACAGAGGCAGGCTGGGTTGTGATGGGAAGTGTAGAAGCAATGGGGGTCTGAATAGTTGAGTAGATCATCCCATCTGAGGATCTAATAGCAGCGGGGTACATGGCTCTTAGACTTGCCTGCCTGGCATTGATAAGATTAGTTAAGGCTTGACTGTGAGAGATTGGCTTCCCATCTAATCCAAAGAGAAGGTTTTGCCTAATGCCAAGACCAGCTGCAAGTCTGGAGGCCATGGGCCCAGTACCTCTGCTCAAACTGCCAAACTGCATCAAGTCTGGGTTGCTTCCATAGCGATCCATGGAATTGAGTGCTGCACACATTCGGCTAATCTCCCTTGCAGTTGTGGCACTGTACTGAGCCAAGTTAGCTTCTTGGAAGTTAGCAATGTCACGCGCAGAATAGCCATAATCTGAACTGATGTTGGACAAGGAATTGTATCTTCTGATAGGCAGTGTTTGTGCTGCAATGTCTCCTCCATGCCGTAAATCTGTATAGGAACCATACTGCATCCCCACATATCCTCCATAGCCCTGTTTCATAGCAGTTAGATCCATGGCAAGTTCTCCTGAAGCTTGGAGATGTGGTTCCACTTTAGAATGGTAAGACTGTAACCCAGCTTCAGCAAGGTTTGTATCAGACATTGAAGGCTGGAGCCTACCAGGAAAAGGTAACGTGTAGGCCTTACGCCCATCCATTGGATACTCATGGTACCTTCCAGGTTGTCTTTCTTGGTCAGACTCATAGGTGAGAGGTGGGGCAGATGGAGGCCTTATGCCTTCTTTCTCAGGAGCACCAACACAGGTTCCACCAAATGGAAGTCGATAAACAACATCACAGCAAGCTGGTTGGTTGTCAGGCTTAATTTGGCCTCCTGTCAGATCTACAGCATCCTGTCCTTCTTCTACCTTGACGAGCTGAGTCACAGCCCTGGCTGGGTCTGGGCCCCCATCCATTTGTACAACCATACTATGTGGCGATTTACCCCCTGATATCAAACCAGGAGGACTGGGCTTTCCCTTGAGTTCAACTGGACCAGCGCCATACAGTTCAGGGTTAATGATTGGTGATACAGCACTGACCACAGCTGAAGCAGTGGTTGTCTGACTGACGAGCAAATCTTTTTTCAGTAAAGGTGAGATTGGGCCAGTAAGGTTGTACCTGGCTAAAACAGATGCCTGTTGCTGCTGTTGTTGCATCTGATGGTGGTGTTGCAACTGTTGTTCCAGGAGCTCTTGTTGTTTCTGCAGCTTCTCTTGTTGTTTTTGAAGCTCTCTCTGTTGTATACTGAGGTCTTCCAGTTTGGCATCAATTTTTGGTATTGATGGGTCAGTTGGAGGTGAAACTGGTTTATTCTGGGAGAGACAAACTGCTGAACCCATGCCTTGTCCCAGATCCACCCGGTTTTGATGTGGATCACCATAAACTGTTGGTTGTTTTGGCTGGGTCATGAACATTGAAGCAGCTACGGTGACACTCACAGTGGTTGGTGTGGTGGTTTCCTGTGTGTTCAAATTCATAATCAGTGGCTGTACAATCGTTGAATGTCTGCTACCCTCTGGTCCACCATGGTATTTTCTGCTTTCTGTGGCTAAGGAGGTGAGATCCATTCCTTGGTCAGTCATAATAATAGGAGCTGGTTTAGTAGCTGTTCTAAGGTCCACAACACTTCCACCATGAATCATATGGCCCTGCTCTACCCTCGAAGTCCCTGGGACTGTAGATATCCTACAGAGGGAGATATTATCCATTGAAACAGACCCTCTGGTGTATATGCTGGCTGTGGTGACCATGCTTGTTCCGACATTTACTTTCTCCACTCTTTGTGTACGATAAAAGCTCCGTGTAGGAGAGTGGTGGTAAGGTGGTGTGTCTGGAGGGCTGCCACATGGAGAGTAAGTATCAAATGTTGATTGGCGGCTAAATCGGGTAGGAGAAGACAGCGGGGAAGTTGCAGTATTGACTGTCGTTGGCCTAGCTGGGCTTGAAGGAGGGGAGTATGGGGCATCCTGAGAGGATTGCTGTCGATAGAGCCTAGGGGAAACTGATCGATGTGATGTTTGGGTTCCCTGAGCCATTACTGGTGAAGTAGGACCAGAGCCTGCTGACTCCATTCTCAATGCTGAACTGAAAGTCTGTGTAGAGAACTCAGCTGTAGCTCTTCTTGAAGGAGAGCGAGTGGGACTCTGTGGTGGTGGTGGTGATGGTGAAAGAGGAGGACTGGTGCTTCTGTAATAAGTAGTATACTTGGGAGAACGGGGCTCAATAATTCTCTCAATAGAAGATGTTGAGCTGTCTCGCACTTGGATCCCCCTGGTCTCCCCTACCCTTCTGGTAATGACTTCTCTTTGACTGTAGGCTTGGGTAATCTCTGCAATCTTGCTGCATACGCTTGAGACTGTAGCTGAAGATGCGGATGTACTACCCATATGCCTGCGACCTATTTCAGACTGAGTGGATGTAACAGTATGGCTTGAACCAGTCTGAGAAATAGTTACTGCATCTCTAGCATAAACACCATATGCTGCAATAGTGGTTGCTGCCACTGTTGGAGTTATTCCATTCTTTCCTGCTTGGGTTTTGAGTCTATCTTTGTGTCCATCCTTTGCAGAATAGTGCTGTGTTACTCTGACATCAGGGATTCGCCCTGCAGTCTCAGCAAAGGACACAGGAGCTGAGATCTGGGTGGGACTGGTACCTGGTGTAAGGAGAGCATTACTTTGCTCTAGTAGCTTAGCAAAGGCTGAGCCTGTATCTAAGAGCTGTTTATCTGGGTAAGAGCTCTCAATTTCAATCTCTACTTGCTCATCTGTGGCCTGTTGCATCTTGGTAATGTTCTGAGATGTTTGTCTAATCTCCTCATAAATATCAGTTTCTGTCTCTGCTGCCTCATTGTCATATCCTGTTTGATCTTGCTCATATTCATACTCATCATCATAACTTTGCCCATTAATGTCCTCCTCATAGTACTGCCCATGTCTTCCATGTTGCTGTTGTTGCTGTTGTTGTTTCTGCTGCTTTTGAAGCATTTCTGCCTTTCTCATCATCTCCTCATAGACCTCCTCAGCACTCTTCAGAGGTTTGGAAGTTGAAGATGGTGCTGTGGTGGTGGTTGCAGTTGTTTTCTCTATCGGGGAATAGAGTGACATGAAGGTTGGCAGATTATACTCACTTCCTGACTTGTAAAGTTTGGACTCATATCCCTCTGCCTCTGAGTCAAGACTTTGAGGCGAATATTCAGAAGCAGAGGAACGATGAAGCTCTTCCATTTCTGCTGCTTGTCTTAGCTCTTCTGTTGGAGACGCATCCTCAATAGGTGACAGATTGCTAGGTGGGGTCTTGGATCTTTCTCTGCGCCTCTGAGCCCTCAGTTCCTCTTTATCTCTCTTGGTCTTTCTTGCTGTACTTCTAATTCTCTGCTGTTCCACTTCTCTCATCTTTTCCTGTTCTCTCAGAAGTTCCTCTTCCTCTCTGAGTTCATCCTCTTCTGAAGAATCTTCAATGGTAGGAAGGAGAGGGCCATGAGAGCGGTGGCGTGCTTTCCTCTGCTGCTTAGCCTCCTCCAGTCTTTGCCTCCTACTGGGGCTACTGTCACTATCTTCCTCCATTGATGAGATGGACGTAGGAGATTGTCCAGAGCCATATGAGGATGAAGTGGGTGGCAGAGTAGAGGAGTAGTCACCACGAGAACGTTCCTCAGGAGATCCTGTCAGACTCTCCATCTCTAGCTCTGGTTCCCGATCAAGGCTTAAGTCGTTTTCATTGCTCAGCTCGATGTCTCGACTGTAGCTATTGGTGTTATTGAGTTCAATTGTTTTGAAGCGCCTCAGACCTCCTTGCGATGCCATCACATCTTCCTCACCCTCTTCTAGTGAGCCTTTATAGACATCAGTAGAGCTCTTAGTCTCCTCCTCAAAACTACTGGAATGGTGCTGAAGGCGTCTCTTTTCTTTCCCTGAGTCAGAGATTATGTGCTTATGGTGGCTTTTCTTGGGTTTCTGGTAGCCATATCCTTCGTCTTCCTCATCTTCATCTTCCTCCATCTCTTCCTCCTCCTCCTCATTGTCTTCATCAGCACTCATCTCCATTATTTGTCTCCTCATGAACTCCTCATCGGTCATCTCTGTGGGCTCAGCTTCCTTTTCTTTCTTTTTCTTCTCCTTCTTCTCCTCTTTCCCTTCCTTTCGCTTACCCTCCCAGTCTCCCCCATCTTCTTCTTCCTCAAGTATATCTTCCAGCTCCTCATCAGAGTCATATGCATCTGGAGGGATTGACAGAGAACGTGGGCGTTGCTTCCCTCTGTCATCCAAATCTCTGTCTCTGTGCTTCCTCCCCCTTCTGTCTGCCTTCTCTTCAGAGAAGCTCTTCTCTAGTAATGGCCTCATGGAGCTTTCCAGCTTGGTGATTTCAGAGGGACTTGGTGGGGAGCCCCGGCTGCTGATTCCCCTTTCACTCAGCTTCATCTCTTCTTCCTGGATTAGACCTGTGATTTCACTGTGGGAGCTGGAGATACCATCAGATGAGTAGCCAGTGTCACTGAGACTCTGAGGGCTGCGTGATAAGTCGTGGGTGCTGTTGTTTTTTGTATCCTACAGAGAAAAGAAAACAGAAAAACAAATGGATTAGACTTGGGGGAGCTAAGGTTTTTAGTTTTGATGATAATTTATATCAATTTTACAATGTGTTGAAACTGGTCAATAATATCAATCTGCATAAAAATTAAGCCCACTTAAAATCACTTTCTGATTTTAGATGCAAAATTCATACTTTTTAAAATTACAAATAAATACGAGTTTTAAAAATGGTATTTCTTATTTAGAAATTTGCAGTAATATATCCTAGTCCTATTTGTATGATAGCCATAATATGGTATGGTTTCAGTTTATATTAAAAATATCATTATGATGCTTGAACCTGTACGCCAAAACTGCAGTTTTCAACTTTCATTGTCTTGTAAATAAAAGAAAAAAGAAAAAAATATAAAAAATAAAAATAAAAATTGATGAAACTGATTTCATATCAACTGGATTTCATTCACGAGATCACTAAATCACCATGAAGACATTTTATGTTTTTCCATTAAACTTAGTTTTAAGCCAGTGGGCTGAAATGGAATGCTTTAGTTTAAATCAGTCTAAAAGAGATTTATTTATTACTACATGCTACTCATGTCTTATAATTTAAGGGACACAATGCCTATTAGAATTATTCAGAATCAGAATACTTTCTTCATCCCAGGTTGGAAATATAAATAGAAAAGAGAACATGTACTGAAAACAAGTAAAAACAAATAAAAAGAGACTCAATGGTAAAATAAATATCAGTCATTACATATTTAGAAACTTTACATTCATATAACACAAATAGGTTTGCGCATACTCATTTTGAATCTAAAGAAAAAACAAACAAACAAAAATATATTACTATCAGGTTCACTAGCATTAGCTAACACGTAGCTAACACATCTAACACTTAATCCTAAATAAAAACTACTTAAATATAACTTAATTTAAATATTTAAATATGTAATAAAAATTGAGAATTGAGTCAAAACACTTGGATTTTACTCTACATCTTTGAATCTGATCTGATTTATTCATTTGTCTCAAGACAAATAACATTATTATGCAATAATCTTAATGTGACTTATAATTGTTAGGTATGTTGAGCCATTGATGGAAAGAGGTTAGTCAAACTATGTTTTTCATGTTTTTTCCTTTTGATGATGAGCTCAAAGTAAGATTGTATAGCTGACTTTAATATCTGAACAAATGAAAACTCATTCATCAATGGCTCTTAATAACAGTCATTTATAATCTCAAAGGAACCAACCTGGTAAATGATTGGGGAGATGGAGAAAAGGATGGAAAACTGGTAAAAATCATGCAAAGCACTTAAGGTGGTTATAATGCATCTGTACTTTGAGCTCTGTATAATTTAATTACTTAGCAGCTCTTCAGATGATAAAGTCCAGCACTACCTTAAAAATGACCACAAGAGTGCTACATGAACTAAGGGCTTGGAGATTTTACAGATTCATGACATGCCAATTTTTAGAAGAATTGGAACAGCAAGAAAAGGTTCTTCCTGCTGTCTTTGTTTTTCAATCTCTGTCTCTCCCCAAGGTAATCCAATGCCTTGCTGCCACTTGCAGCCTCAGCATACTGTGAAATGGGAATCAATGACATACTTTCCAAATCAATATGGACGTCCAACACTTGAGGAAAATGGAACCGATTTAGCTTAGAATTACCTAATATTACATCTATGCAACAGTTATTTTGCCATGTAAAGTACCCATATCTGCAAACAAAGTGATTATCATGTCAGTGTTGCAAGTAAATGTATATGTATAAGCACCAGTCTGAATAGAAATATATAGGGACATTTTGTACAAGAACTGAAAACATTAAATAAGCTTTGCATAGGCAGCACAAAAGCCATATTAACCGAGCAAGAGATACAGTACAAAAAATATGACACATCATGGGCACTAGTCACTTTTAGTGACAATATCATCTTAATAGAGTGTGGGAAAATGAGACAAGGCAAGTATCTCATCCCTCTGTAAATAAGTGCAGAGTCAAAATTGATGTATTTTAGTTGTCACTACAATAATAATAATAATAATAATAATAATAATAATAATAATAATAATAATAATAATAATAATAATAATAATGAACATTCCCATTTTAGAAATGATCAAATATGACTGCAAATAAAATATGTATCATAAATCAGAAGGCTCATTACAAAGCTTTAGCATTTTGACTCCTCTTTAAAAAAAAAAGAACAAAACAACCATAAGTTGTATTTATGGATCAGAGACCAAATTTAAAAAAAAAGATTTCTTTTGAATATTTAAAAACAAGAAACATGTAGCAAAGGATCCAAATTAATAGTGGTAAAATAAGAAGTTCAGATTTACTTATCTGAAGTAAGTAACTGAAACTCAGAAAAAAACATTATATAATGTTTACATTGGAAAAAATAAGTATTGAATGTGTCAACAGTTTTCTCAGGAAAAACATTTCTAATGGAGCTATTGACATGAAATTTTCACCAGATGTAGGCAGCAATCCAGGTAATCCGCACATACAACGAAATCAAAACAAATAAGTATTTAAATCAAGTTATGTGTAATAAAGTGGAATTACGGAGGGAATAAGTATTGAATACATAAAGAAAAGAAGCATCACGTGGCTGCATGGAGGCTGGAAGGGAAGACAATTAAAAACTTCTCAAGTCAGTCTGAAGCATACATGTGGTGTAAAACGCAAACACACACACCCACACACCCTGAGTTTGTATCCAGAAAGGCTAAAAGTAATCCCAACCCTGACCCTTCTCCCATGACTATGTGAATATGGAGAATCAGCTTATAGAAGTTATTAGTTGTTTAGCTGCATTCATGAACAATAGCAATGCAACAAGCATAAAAGCATGGATGTGAGTGACACAGCTGCACAAGATGCTGTAGGCCATCTACAGTAAACCAACATAGTCTCTAGTTAATGTGAAAAACCTTTAGATAACTATACCTAGCAGTTTTTCTGTGCGAAGGACAAGGTCAAAGGCCTTTTTTAAACTCTAGCTTTAGTGCCACAAAAATGAGCAGCATGGAGAAATCCTCTGCTAAAGCTCTGCAGGTCTGAACCAGAGCGCGAGTTTGATTTAAAAAACCAAAAAAAACCAAAAACATAAATGTGAAGCTGGACCATACCTCAAAAGTCAGTTTTTACTTATATGCGACCCAGATCTGTTTTTTTACATTCTTGATTACATGTAAACTGAGTTCAATTTTATAAATATAGTGTCAAATCAGAGCCAAAAGTAGCCTAATGCCCTGTGGAAGTTGCTATTTCTCAGTTTTGCCTGGGGTAAAATAAATAAATGGTCATAACTCGAATGCAGGTCTGCTTTTATTCACTGCAAACCTCAGTCCGAACAGTCAAATCAAAATTCATCACTTCCATGGCCTGAGTGTCTTGCTAAGTCTATCCTGGCATGTCTCTCTAATGGCGATACATCCTGAAATTTTGGAGGAAATCAGTTTCAGTGTAGACAGACATGCCTCAAAACCCTCCTGGCTCTAAGTCTGTATCCACATATTTCTGTACAACTGCACGATGACTTTTGCATTTTCTTTGTGTCTTTTTGCATAGTTCACATTTGAATGTGATATTGGACACATTTAAAAAACTCAAAAATCATTTGTGTTCACTTTTTGGTCATTTTCCTTAGTTTAACACATAAATTGGTGACATGCAAAAATCAGACTTACATCATAGTGCCTGGACTTCTTAATGTCCTTGATCGGTGTGATCTGCTCTCCTTTCTTCTGGGAGGGCTTGGTCTCTTTGGAAGTTTGGTTCTCGGGCTCAGTCTTGAGCTTTTCCTCTGATGGTTTTGACTGTTTCTCGATCTCAGTGGTTGTTACTGGTGTCGTGGATGGTGCTGTAGTCTTGGTCTCAGTTGGCTGTTTGGCAGCTGCGGGTGCAAACGGGCTGCTAACGACACTTCCCGCCTGTGGCTTCTGGCTCTGTGTTTGGGGCTGGCCTGGCTTGGTCCCTTGCTGGGTGGTAGGTTTGTGGAGGGGACTTTGCTGACTGATTGGTGTCTGATGTCGAGGCGAGCCCGTGGGTTGGTGCTTGGGAGACGGATGAGGAACAGGAAGTGGAGGCTCATCAAGACCTTCTCCAGACATCAGCCGCTGCGTCTGGCAGTTGAGACATAACCACTCTTTTTTCTGAAACAGAGAGAAGACAAAAAGACAAACATGTAATTTGTTTTGTGTGTAATTGTGATACAACCTTAGCCTTACTGCACCAAAGATCGCTTTATGTGGATTAACTAATATTGTTTCACATTCATAACCTGGTTAATATTCTTAACTTTCAACTCAGCATTCACTTAAATAGCAAACTACAGCAACAGCCTCACACACACATACACTCACATACTGTGTACACTGAAAATCTTATTTCCAGACAGAGCTGTCAGAGGTGTAGCGGCTAAACTGAGCTGATGCACGTTTCTAAAAGGCCAAGTCGCTCTAACAGCTACTCCCTGTTTCATCAGATCAACTCTACTCGATTTCACACACTGTGAGCCTGAGTGGCAAAAAATGAAAGACTTGGTGCACAACAGTGTACTTAATCTAGCTTGTAATTTGGTCTTCTTCATTCTGACAAAGCCAAACTAGTAGCATACAAATATATTTCGAAAATTTACAATATCATAAACATTACTCCAGAGACGCAACATTTTGTTAGAAACTCATCACCTTTCAAGATAATATGACAAAGAGGTATTTACAAATTTGCTTGCTGCAACAGTTTTTCATTTATCCACCTGGTGAATATTAGTTTGTTATTCCCTTCTTCTTAGTAGTGAAGTACAGTAGTGCAAATGTTGGTATTGTAAGTAAATACAAAAACTGTTTTGTCAATGCCAATACAGATGCTGATACTATAAAGGCAGCATAAATAGGAGAGAGCAGTGTGTCATGATTTATGAGACGAATTATCATCAATTTGTAAATGCTGAACACATTTTAATGACCACTAAATCACTATGATTTTTAATTTCACATTAATTATTTAATAAAACAAAACACCTTTCATCTTATTCTGTGTTTTAAAACTGGAGTTTTTGGAGACCAGAAATGTAAATGTACCTGTCTAAAGCACTTTGGGTCAACTTCTGTTGTTTAAATGCAGTGTTGGGGAGTAACGGAATACATGTACCACCGTTACGTATTTAAAATACAAAATATGAGTAACTGTATTCCATTACAGTTACCGTTTAAAAAGGTGGTATTCTGAATACAGTTACTTTGCTGAAATAAAGGGATTGCACGGCTGTCTTTTCCTGTTTCATATGTTAGGCTATGCTCTCTCTATTTTTGGTAATTTCGTGCCGGTGAAAACCCAAACAAAACACGCATTAAGAGGCTGAAATGCCTGTGTCTCAATCTCACGTCTCATAATGATGTGAAGAAATATTTTTTTTAAATTATTTAATATGAAGGCAATAGGCAGAGTGTTACAGGCATACCCCTAAAGAATGTAGCCTCATGGGCAGTGTAGTCCGTGCTGCAGGGAGAATAGACTGCCATACCCGTTATGTGTCTGTGTGAGTCTATCAACTGCAAAGGATTTTATCTGCCTCTTTAGCTTCTACATAAATAAAATGTACATGTAGCACTTTTTATAGACAGAAGAATTACAAAGTGTCAGGGGCTGGGTCTGTGACGTTTTGAGGCTATTTTGTATTTTAGATTTTCTTATTTTAAGTTTGTGATAATAGGTTCTTGTGTTATTAATAGTTAGGATTTAGTTAAGTTTTATTCTGGTTTTTGTTTCATCTTTGTCTCCTTGTTTATGTGTCATGTTTCCTGTCCAGTGTGTCACGTGTTTTATGTCTGTGTTGTGTCCACGTTGTCAAGCTCGTGTGTCATGTCTACATCTCTCCATGTTTCCTGTTTTATTGTGAAGAGTCCAGTGTTAGAGTCTAGTTAAGTCTCCTTCTGTTCTTCGTCGGGTCGCCTGTTTATCTTCATGTCATGTCTCGTCAGTCCACAGAGTTTTTGCTACTACTCAGGTTCAGGTTCATGTTCATGTTCAGACTTTTTTCACATTTATGTTTGCATGTTCCTCTTCAGTTCCATGTTCATGCCTTATGTCTATGTTTTCATAGTTTAGTTTTCCCAGTTTAGTTTTTAGTTTAGATCTTGCCCCTATTCGCCTTGCCTTGTTTTGTCTTCATGTTTTTTCAGTCAAATAAACGACTAGCTTTTTTTTAAACCTTAGTTTGTTTCTCCTGTGTCTGCTTTTGTGTCTGTTCCATAAATACACCGGCGTGCTTCATAGTGTAACAGAAGAAACAAACGTATAACATCAGATCAATATGAAACACAATAGAATGCAACATACAACACAAAGAAGTAGCGCTAAATGGTGTTGTAGTGTCGTGCGGCCTATTGCTAACTGCTCCAATTAGCTAGTTGCTAATGGTGAATTCTACCCCATGAGCATTCAGAGGGTTTTTTCTTAGAGTTCAAGATAAAATTAACAGTCATCAGTGGCAAGAAATGATGAGAGTGACTAAAAACAATAAATTATCTACCTGTACAACACATAAATGAGGTGTAACACATTATAAAGTGTTTTGTCCTATGCTAACACTGACTAATAGAGTTAGCAGCACAGCAATACTACAGGAGTGAGGTCTAAGGCATAAAACTGAGAAGAGGGTTAGTTTTAAATTTACAGTTGCATTTCAACATAATATATAATACTTATGCATTATGTATTTTTGATGATCTCTCCAGTATCTAGCTCACCACCCACCAACGCCACCAGCACCTTCTGTTTATTCTGTGCCAGTGTGTCTGTTTCTGTCCATGACAGCTAATGGAGTTTGGGGCTGAAGAGCAGCTGTATTACTCATGTAATGAATAATTGACAGAAGCAGTTGTTCCTCTTCAACACTTATCTATCATCTCTATTCTTATTCACCTCCATCGAGTCCTTTCTCTTTCTCTACACCAAACTCACCAAATCTCTTTCTACAGAAACTCCATTCTCTGGCTCATTCTGCCTTTAATAGCTCTCTCCCGCTCTCAAGCCTCCTGTATTTGCTCCATCCCCTGTCTTTTTCTGAATCCTTTTGGGAGTTTATCTGCGATTAGATGTCACACAAAAGACTCCATCTCCCTTAGATTTCACAGTGACAGTGCTGCTTTGGGCCGAGCAGTGAGCACTATAATTGGCACAGGATTCACAACATTAATAAATATAGTAATATAAGCTGATCCGACAGTTTTGAAAATGCTAGCCTCCAGTTATCATGACCAGCTAATTACAGTAAGAAAAACAATTAAATGGTAGAGGAACTAGAAGCTGAACAGACAACAGGTTACATCCAAGTGTTTGTTTTTCTTTTTTCTTTTTAATCATTTATCTTTTGCCATTTGTCACCAAAACTTCTTTTACAATATAAAATTCACAGAAAAACTCACATTTCAACATTTAATTTGAAATGACTGAATAATGCAGCTTAGGATACGTGAAATCTTAATATTAAAAAAAATTGGATCAGTCATTTAAAAATGAGGGGGAAAAAAGATCAAAAAAGTATGTGCGCTCAATGAAACCTAAAATTTAAATTCATTTGAATATCCTATTCCCACCAACATGGCTTCTGCATAAAAAAAAAGAAACAGATTATCAGAAGATGGAAAATCTTTTTGCGCATTAGGGACTCATAGCATTACAGAAAGAAAATATTTTGAGACGCCTTCACTGGAATATCTTAAATGCCTTCAGCAATTATAACTGAACAAAGTAGCTGATGAGGAAGTCATCTTCTGATTGGCTGCCTCGATGCTAACTGTAACTGAAAATGAGTTTATATCCCAGTGATTATACAGGAGATGTATCACTGTCAAATCTTTAAGCTCAACATAAATGAAGCTTAATTGGGGTTCAGGTTTAAACTCCTGAAGAATACATTCTGAATACAGTACAGTACACCAAATGAATGTAAGCCGATGTAATGCCCTCTGACATGATGGAAACACAACTCTGTGTGTGTACATCCCCTGAAGCACCACATTGTACTGTAGGTTCTGAAATGGTTGAATCATTTTTCAACCCTAAAGTGAACTCATTCCCTCCTTTTCTCAGAGAGAGTATATTCAAGATGACATTACAGGGAAGTTTGTGAGTGTGTGTTTTCCCAGTGGTGCCCACTTAGCCTATATAGCACAAACAATCTGGCCTTTTCTACTCCTGTCAATAACACTCACTAAAATGCTCCATCAGTGCTAATTCATGCCGCAGAGCACTGCTGTTTTCTTTTCATGTGTCATTCTGCAGCACATTCTGAATCTTCTCTTTCAGAATGTCTGTCCTTTTACAGCATGTTGAGCATAGCTGGATTTGTTTTTGTCCTATACCTTCCAGCTCTCGTCTTTTTTTTTCTTGTCTACCTTTCTGCTCTTTTTCAGTCCATTTCCTGCTATTTTCAGTTACTCCATCTATTTCGCACTTAATAATAGGGAAAGAAATGGATTTGCCTTTTATTCATACCCACCTGTCACAAGCAGCATTTCCCTGCCACTGGATTTTATTCGCAGAAAATCTGTAGCAGTAACTTACTATTGCTTTTACTTTGTCTTATCCAAATAGAGGTCTAGCAATTGCACCTTCATGATGGAGAGTAACAGTACTGTCCAAAACTCTCAGGCTTACACTCATTTCTAAATAGGTGCAGCTATTTATTGAAACATACATTTAAAGTAAGACTTGGCGTAATTCAAACGAGCTTGTAACTCAATATTTGGTATGATCGCCTTCATTCTTCCAACACAGCCTGAATTCTTTTAGGCAACTTCTTTGTCATTTCTTTAAGTAGTCTTCAGTTCACAGGCTTCTTGAAGGACATTCAAAGCTCTTCTTCGGATGCCTTTTATTCTGTTCGCTGTCAAGATGCTCCCACACCGCTTTAATAACACTGAAATTTGGATCTCCATGAAACCTGTTGATACTGATTTTCAGTCCAGTTCTTGTTTCCCTTCTATAAAAATGTCATCTTGACAGCCATCCTTCCATTCAGTCCGTTGGGTTTGGTGCTAGTTTTTATGCTTGAACAAGTCATAGGTCAGTGTTAAGCGGCTTCACAAACAAAGTACCATTCTTCTGGCTCTCTTCCACAGTGTGTCTTTGTTCTTTCTTCCTCCCC